CATTATCCTGACCCATATAACTTTCTGCTTGCCACACTAATTCCTTAATCATTAAGCTTAATCATTTTTTTGTGATCCATTGTCTCATAGAACTTGTATAAATCTGATCTGGAATGGCTCCGTGGGATTGGCTGGATGCCGGAAGGCTCTGTGGATGTGGTCAGAGTGAAAAGGGCTCAAGATCTCATAAATGAGAGGTTGTACAAACTACGCCCGGATGCACTGAAATTTACCAGCATACCTGATCCACCCCCTGTTGTCCTGGCTAAGGTCAATGCACAACAGATCAGTGAGGTAAATTGAAATGTAGTCACTACCTCTGTGTAATGTGGCCGAGATACAGTGGCCTTTGAAGAATAAAAATTATTTCTCATTCATCAATTGAAAATTATCTTTCCTTCCTTCCTTTCTTAGAACCTGTATCGGGAAGCGTGGGATAAAGAGAAGGCACAGATTAATATTCCTCTAGATACCCCATCAATGCTGCTTTCCAAGATGAATGCTGTGAATGTTAGCCATGTAAGATAATTAACTAACTGTATGCATTGTTTTGTTAAACATATTACTATTCCTTTATTCATTACATTGTCTTAGTTATACACTCCTGTTAGTTGCTCTTAAAAACATAAAAGTATTACATATTGATTCTTATATCTATATCCCAGCAATTGAAGGAAAATACACACACATACATATCCATAGACTGTAAGTTATCCTTGTGTCATTTATTTTTTTGAGAAATATTTAGCTCTTCCAAAAAATGTCTCAGAGCAGATTATGTACCTATGCTTGTGTACCAATATACAGTGTAGAACAATTACATGTATTGTAGATGTAAGTGATGATGAAAATGATGATGTCTGTTTCAGTGGACACAATATCCCAATCATCCCTATTGGAAGTACGAGGTTCTGCACAAAAACTTTATGCCTTCTTGACCAATATTGGTTTTTTATTTTCTTTTGTTAAGTATGCATCCCAAATTTTGGGGCTAAATCAATATAATTCAAAACATTGTAGATGTTTAAATTCAAAACGTTGTACAGTGAACATACAACTGTAACAGCCATAAATAAGCAAATCATTTTGGACAAACAAGCTCCAAAAATGATTGCCTAGCCTGAATTTTACCATTTCCATTATATTTATGCAATGCTTATCCCATTTCTCATTCTGAAAATTTATATTTTTCACATTTTATTCTTCAGTAGTGTCCCTGGGAATAAAGTAAGTTAACCATAGTGGTACTTATATCTAATAAGACAGTATGTTTAATTGAGAATTGTCTGTAGTTTATTTACATCCTGTTTTTTTCTGATTATATTGAAAGTTATACATGTATTCTAATTGCAGAAACATTATACTGGAGCCTGGGATGATGCCAAGGCAAAAGGCTATGACTTTAAATTGGAAGCTCTTTCATTCAAGCATGCGAAATCTTCCAGAGAAATTGCCAGTGAGGTATGAGCTCTGTTTATTAAATGTTGCCTGTAAAACAACTGTATCTTTTAATACCACACAGATGGGAGAGTAGGCATCCAGTTACCAATGAAACACATAGATCCAACAATATATAAGATGCCATTGTTCAAGGAGATGTCGTTTTTGCGTTCTTTTGCATTTATATGCTTAGAAATTTGAGATTTAAATTTGTATTAAAACCAAGCAGTTTAATTCATGTTTTATTCTGAATTGCAAAAAAAATATAACCCATTGAGATACTTCTGTAAAAGGAGTTTTTATACCCCAATGATTTTGGATTCAGTGAATGTTATTTCTATTGTTATTTTTCAGTGGCAAAGTTATTGTTTTTAAACATAGTTTTAGAATGGTTTAATAAATTACATTACTTTGATACATAAATTATAAAGCTTACTATTGAATGGTTTAGAATTATGAATTCTACCTGTTCCTTCACTCAGGGTCCTCCAGTCATTAAAATACCAATTTTCACATTAACTGGAATAATTCCTATCTTTTTAACAATTCTTTTCTGTGCTTTTCTCTTCAGTATAAATACAAACAAACTTACGAGAGACAGAAAGGTCATTACATTGGAACCCCTTCAGTCAAAGAGGATCCTAAACTTTCATGGGCTGCGCGAGTAATGAAAATGCAAAATGACCGTCTCTATAAACAAGCATACCACAATTCAAAAGCCAAGATCACCATTCCCTATGAAATGGTGGCTATCCAGGCAGCCAAACAAGGGCAGGCTTTAGCCAGCGACATTGATTACCATCATTATTTGCACCAGTGGTCTTGTCTGCCGGATCAGAATGATGTGATCCAAGCAAAGAAAGCATATGAACTTCAGAGCGACGTAAGTACACCAGTAGTTCATTTCACAAGGTTACGTAAATGAATCATGGTCAGGCACAGAGCAAAAGAGACTTTGAAGTGCATAGTTATAGAACAGATGTATTGCACTTCAACTTACATTATCCCCACCAGTGGGAATGTATGAGAATTCAAATCCCTATAATGCAAATTGAAAAAGGTGTTTTTGAAGATTATCTTAATTGTGCTTTTGTTTCCAATGCTCACATCTGCAAAAATATGACCAGAAACACTGTTCCTTCATTGAAGTCTTCACTGAATGAAGTTAACCTTGGCAGGTCATGGTGATACTGGTGCTGGTGAAAATATTTTAAAGTGACATTACTTAGATAAAAATTTTCTAAAATGTCACATATAGCAAATTTACCAATAAACCTAGTGGATGCAGTTGAGTATCATTTTTAAACTTTTTTTCTCCACTCATTTAATTCAGTGGAGTTTATATGTTTGTTCAGTGATATAGAAACACTTATGCAGCCTGTTTTGGATATTATACCAAGGTTTGGGGTGCTTTCTATTTACTTAATCTAGGTAATTAATACAAATGGAAAGTGCCATTAATATCAGAAGATATATGACCATTTCTAACTTCACCTGTCCAATTTATCTACCTTTTGCCTTAGAACAAAGAAAGTAAGGAACACTAATTATTAAAACAATTAATTGTGAATTGGTCAGAATGGATGTCCTATTAGTTGACATCACATAAGAATGTTTATTTCATTTAAAAAAACTAACCCTTCTTTTCCCCCACTTTCTGATTTGCTATCTCATAGGCTGTGTATAAGTCAGATCTAGAATGGCTCCGTGGGATTGGATGGATACCAAGTGGGTCTCCAATAGTGAAAAGAGTCAAATTTGCCCAGGAAATCCTGAGTGACAATGTATACCGCACTCCTGCTGACCGTCTGAAGTTCACCAACATTGTTGATACACCGGACGTGGTCCTTGCTAAAACCAATGCGGCACAAATCAGTATTGTATGTTAATCCTTTTCAGTAGCTTCACATAAATTCTGGACAGTATGTCCTATTAATTTTTTTTTTATATTAGTTTATATGAAATTAGTTTTCTCCCTTCAAAAGTGAAAATGTGATTAGATAAGAATAACACCGAATAAACAAGTAACCACTTCTTTATTTGTGTAGCCTAAATACCGAGAAGTTTGGGATAAAGATAAAGTTATGATCCATGTGATGCCTGACACACCTGAAATAATGCTTTCCAAGGCCAATTCCATCAACGTAAGCAAGGTAAGTACATTTCTACCATACTTATTAAGTTCTTTAGATTAAAACGGTTTCATACATTGTATTTCCCCACCTTATAACACCTTAGCTTTCTACTTACTAAGGCAGGGGTGTCAAACTCAAGGCCCACGGGTCTGCCCTGGAAACAGTGAAGGACCAGCCCATGATGCCAGCAAAAACAACTTGGGACAGCCCGCCTGTGCTCTGTTTTCAGACACAGTGGCCTCCTGCAGCCCTCTGTCAACAACAATGGAGGCCACGGAGGCTGTACACGACCCACCCAGGCTCCATTTTTGGTTGCAACAGCCTCCTGCAGCCCTCTGCCAGTGAAATGGAGCCCAGGTAGGCCACACGCAGCCCCCCTGAAGCTCTGTTTTCTGTGGCAGTGGGTTGCAGGAGACTGTCACGGCCAAAAACAGAGGCTTGATGAGTGATGTCGAGCTGGCCACACCCACCTCGGCCATGGTCCCCTGTCCTCCCAAGGTCAAACACAACCCTTATGTGGCCCACAATGAAATTAAATTTGACAGCTAAGTTCTAAGGCTTCTGCTTTTATCATTTTTTGAAATAAAGTGGACACTTGAGACAGAATGTGGGGAATACCTGTTGAATAATCAAGTCTGTGCCTCTTACTAACTTTTTTTTTCTTTGCTGGCCAGCTGTGAAATATTATTGCAGATCAATTCATTATGACAATAATGCTGTTTTTTATACTTTGCAAACTGTTGGTTGCTTTATGCAATATTTTCAATGCTTTGACTCAATTTTTGTTTGGATACAGTGTCTTATATAATCTATATTATACCAGAATACATGGTCTAACTGGAGGCTGACCTTCTATATGGGTAGTCCTCGACTTACAACAGTTCATTTAGTGATCATTCAAAGTTACAACGGCACTGAAAAAAGTGACTCATGACCATTTTTCACACTTACAACCACTGCAGCCTCCCCATGGTCACATGACCAAAATTCAGAGGCTTGGCAACTGGTTCATACTTATGACGGTTGCCCTGTCCCAGAGTCATGTGATCCCCTTTGCAACCTTCTGACAAGCAAAGTCAATGGTAGAGCCAGATTCAACCAACAACCGTGTTACTAATTTAATACATGCAGTGATTCACTTAACAATTGTGGCGAGAAAAGTTGTAAAACGGGGCAAAAAATTCACTTAACAAATGTTTCACTCACCAAGATAAAGTTTGGGTTCCATTGTGGCCGTAACTCAAGGACTGCCTGAATTCCTTAATTCATGAAAAAGTAATTCAAAAAAATACATGAGACTTTCATTCATTAAAGACGTTACAAACTAAAAAAACACGGAACTTTCCAAAGCAAGCGGATATGGCAAAAACCTATTGAAAATATTGTTGGGTTTTAATGAATTGGGTTTTTGTTTTGTTTTGTTTTTGTTTTGCAGAAACTCTATAGGGACGCTTGGGACGATGTAAAGAAATACATTGATTACAGGGTGGACGCAATTCCAATCAGAACCGCCAAAGCCTCAAGATTAATTGCCAGTGATGTAAGTAGTTAACTATATGTTCTTATCTTGTGTGTGTTTGTGTGTGTGTGTGAACTCTAGACCTTCATCAGGGTAAATGATATATGAAATGGTATATATATGAAATCAAATATTTATATATCTTCATTCACTGCAAAATAAGAGATTGCGAGCATCATTCAACTATTGTGAATAAACTGCGCAAGCAACAGGCTCTGGCACATGAAGTTCCATACATTTACCGGATATTTAGATTAGCATTGTAGTCCACAGTACTGGAAGCAATATAATAATGTGAGCTAGGTAGTCATTAAATCTAACTTATAAAGTTAAGACCCAATCACAATTCAATTCCAATGAATTTTGAGTGTTGATCCACAGAACTGGGCAATATTATATGTTGCAGCAGGGTTGGTATTTCAAACATCCACGTGGGACCCACACAAATTTCTGGGGGGGTATTGTTCTAGAGGGCAGATACTGAAACAAGACGCTCTCAAAAAGTAAAGAGAAGAGCAACCAGGATGATTAGGGGACTGGAGGCTAAAACATACAACGAACGGTTTTAGGAACTGGGCTCAGCTAGTCTAGTAAAGGGAAGGACCACGGGAGACATGATAGTGGTCTTCCAATATTTGAGGGGCTGCCACAGGGAGGAAGGGGTCAAGCTATTTTCTAAAGCGCCTGTAGGCCAGACAAGGAATAATGGATGGAAACTGAACAAGGAGAGATTTAACCTGGAAATAAGGAGAAACTTTCTGACAGTGAGAACAATCAACCCTCGGAAGTTGTGGGAGCACCATCACTTGAGACTTTCAAGAAGAAATTGGACTGCCATTTGTCAGAAATGGTGTAGGGTCTCCCGCTTGGGCGGGGGGTTGGATGACCTACAAGGTCCCTTCCAACTCTGATTATCTGTTATCTGTTATCATGCAATTTCTATACAATTTATGATATTACAGATGGAAATTTTATTTGTATCTTTCTTTAAAATTAGTACAAGTACAAAGAAGGTTACCGTAAGCAAGTAGGACACCACGTTGGATTCCGGAACATCCATGACGACCCCAAGCTAGTATTGGCGATGCATGTAGCCAAATTGCAGAGTGAGAGGGAATACAAGAAACATTTTGAGAAGTTTAAAACCAAGTTTAATAGCCCAGTGGACATGCTATCCATCTTGTTGGCCAAGAAATGCCAGAAACTGGTTAGTGACATTGATTACCGCCGGTACCTCCATGAATGGATATGTTTGCCTGATCAAAATGATGTCATCCAAGCCAAGAAAGCCTATGAGTTGCAAAGTGACGTGAGTAGAAAGTTCATTACTATTATATTTTGACTTTTTTTTTTTACATTTTCCTTTGGCTTTTGGCTGATTATTATTATTTGCTGTTCAAAATTGAAGTACTTGTGTTGCTTCAATTATTATAAGCCATCTTTGTATGAATCAACTTCCTTCTGTTAACATGATGTTTATTATGGGAACCATAACATGTATATAATTCTTTTAATGAAAATTACATTTTCCAATCAGAATCCCACACATGCAGCCGTGTAAATGAACATCATTGATTTCAAATAAATAGGTATTTTAGATCTCCAGTAAAATATGATACCAGGTATAAATGTGAATGTGAAAGAAAATATTTATCGAACTATAGAAAGTGATTCATTTAAAACAGCGTCCAAATTGTAACAATACAATGTTTTTTTCCTTATATGCTATGCCTAGTTAATTTGCTCTTCTCTGTGAGAAAAGAAGGGAAATTTTTATTTTACAGTTAGAATGAATGAGAAATTGCCTCCTGGAAAAAGTGTAAATAGTCTCAACTTTTTTTTGTCTGTCTGTGCAGGCTGTTTATAAATCTGACCTAGAATGGCTACGAGGAATTGGCTGGATGCCAAGTGATTCTGTCTCTGTCAACCATGTCAAACATGCTCAGGCCCTTATTAACGAGGTAAGAGGTTTTCTCCTACAAAAATCTCTCTTGTTTCACACAAAAAAACCCGTTTATAAAAACGTGGCTTTTTCACAGTGCAGCCTTTAGTTCGTGCAAAACTGTTCTCCTTCGTGCATGCTGGATCCTATGGACTGAGCATCCACTGAGTGATTTTGATTTCTTTATTAGATATATATGTCTGGCCAGCTTAAGAAACAGAATTCTTGGAAGCACACAACATCAATAAAAACAAAACAAACAAAAATAAATACAAAAAAGAAAAAGTCTCTAAATAATAATCTAAAAACCATTAAATAAGCTATGGTTTATTTTACTGTGATTTATTGGATACCTTATTGTTGGCTAATTTCATACACAATGTTAAACTAAAAAACAGATTTTGATTTAATGTGACATAGAATATCCATGTTATGCGGCTCAAAAGGAACAGAAAGGTTGGGGTTTCATTTAATCCAATTTAATATTTATTTATTGGATTTATATGCTGCCCATTTCACCTAGAGGTGACTCTAGGCAGCTTACAACCCGATAAAAGGAACCAGATAAATATTAAAAAAATAAACATTACTATTTTAGATATTTAATTATTAATTTGATAATTTAACATTTCAGATCAAGGACCGAACTGAACAGCAATAGCACTGCTGTTTTTTTAGCATAGTTGAGGAGAAGAATTATTAAAAAAGTAAAAGCAAAAAAAGTAGCTGTCAATGCAGACTAATATACAGGTAACCCTCGACTTACAGGAGTTCATTTAGTGGCTGTTCAAAATTAAATGGCATTGAAAAAAGTTACTTATGACCATTTTTCACACTTATGACTGTTGCAGCATCTGATTTACATGATTTACATGTGGATGCTTGACCTACCTTTATGACAGCTGCAGTGTCCCAGAGTCATGTGACCTTCAGACAAGCACAGTCAATGGGGAAACCAGATTTACTTAACAACCATGTTACTAATTCAAGAATTGCAGTGATTCATTTAACAACTGTGGCAAGAAAAGTCGTAATATGGGGCAAAACTCAATTAACGAAATTCTCACTTAGCAACAAACTGTGGCTCAATTGTGGTTGTAACTTGAGGACTACCTGTATTTCCCTCCTGTCTTTCTTTCTTGCATGACTATTTATTTTTGTTATTTGCCTTACCTCTGTATTCCTTTCTCTTTTTACAGAGGTTATATCGTACCAAAGCTGATAGACTGCCATTTACTCCGGTGGCTGACAGGGTTGATTATATCACAGCCAAACAAGGTGGAGAAATACTTAGCGATGTAAGTATTGACTTTTTGTTTCAGTCCACCTACATTTATCTCTTAGGATAAAAGGAATAAATCTTGGAAAAGGAAGCGATATATTGTGAACAAATCACTAGATAACTCCAGCAGAGCTCACCAGCTTAATGAATCTTGTGAACTGTGGTAGTCGGAAAATGACATTCTCACAACAACTATGTCAATTATTTTCCTCTACAATAGCATATTTAAACTTTAATCCTACTGTCTCCTACCATCAGTAAATCCTTTATAAAGCAAACTAAGGAATGTCTCCTTTGCGTTTAAGTGCAAAGTATTGATTATTCTCAGCCATGTTGCCCTGTGGGGGATTAGCATAGGTCCAAACACCTCATGATTGGGCTGACAGGATTGTTTTGAAAAGATGCTTCCAACCCTTCCCCTTGTCACAGCAACTGCTTTGATTTTATTCTTTAATTAACTGTTTATTTTGACCTGCCTGTATTATTTTATAAATAACTCAAGGCAGAGAACATATCTAATCCTCGACAATAACAACCCCCCTGTGAGATGAGTTGAGCTGAGAGAGGGAGATCAAAGTCAGCCAGCCAGGTTGGATGCATAAGGTGGAACTAGAACTCACAAACTCATGATGATTGAGCCAAAGTCACCCTGTTATCTTTCATGTCTAAGGGTGGGACTATGGCTCTCAGGTTCCTGTTTTCTAGACTTATCTATTACACCAAACTGTTTTTACCTAATAAATAATTAAATTATGAGATCAAGTAATAAATCAAACCTATGGTTACATAAAAGATTTCATTAAACAATGAATAAAGTAGAAATACATAATGTCTTGAAGGCAAGACTAAATCCGTGTGTGTCTTTTTTCTCTTGTGAAGTGCATAAAATTAATGGCATTTCAGCACACCCTAACTAGACTTACATATCACAGTAACAATACCTAGGGATTTGCAAGAGCAGGAATGGCAGGCCAACCATGATAGTTTCTAACGGCTTAAAAGGCTGAATTTAATATATCTTAACTCTGATCTAGCCAATAAGCTTTTCTGTTTCTCCATATATATTTTTTGCAGAAAGGCATGTATTATGCAAATTATGTGTGTGTTTCTGAATTAGAGGTTATATTCTTGTTCTCTGTCTATTCTTATTTTTCTTATTCACAAAAATGAAAAGGTAGATCAGTATCCACAAATATAAATCAGAAACAGAGTCAGCTGGATTTGTTCCAGATATCTGGAGACTTACCTTCCATTGCTATGTTGGATGAGGCTGATGTGAATTGAAAGCCAAAGCATTTAAAGAGCATCAGATGGTCTGCTTAAGATGCAATTTGTACAACTGTAACTTAGATCTGTAATAACTCTATTGTTAACTCTATTTGTTTCCAGGTTAAATACCACCAGGAATGGAATAATATCAAGGCCATTTATACACTAACAGATACACCTCGGTTGCAAGCAGTTAAAAAAGCAGCTAGGATTCTTAATGAGGTATGTAGTTTCCTCCCAAGAATAATAGTAAATAGAAAATTCAGAATAATTTTATATCTTTAAATCATGAGTCCTGATGGGATAGTTGGTGAAAAACTATAGTCAAAGAAAATAAAGATATAAATATACAGGTCTCTTTCTGGAGGTTTCACCCAGCCAGGCTGATTTCAAGAGATTTCTATTCTATCTTCCTCTCCCACAGTTTTCCACTCTATTGACTGCAAAACACATTTACTTATCACCATTGACCCATTGTGCTTTCATTAGACTGTTTTAGTTGCTTCCATTTGTGTACACCCCTCTTTTTTCTCTTTATTTATGAACCCTTTGGATATTCTCATATACGCTCATACTAGGACCTGGTATTTTGGCAGTTCACAAGTTCTTTTAACTCAAAAGCTACAACAAAACGTTGTAGTGACTCTGCAATGACATTCCCCGTTCAGAATTCCATTCCTTTTCTCTCCCTGCAAGTTTCCTATCTTCTTCTGCATTTATTTATTCAGCATTTCTTCCCCTACAGTGAAAGAGAAAGTTTCCTGTATTTTTGCAAACTTTGTGATTACAGCAACAGAAACTATGCACAGATGTCAGCTCCAGGCCAAATAAGACAATTAAGTGATTGTTAAGAAATATAATGACAGAATAAAAAACACCTACTCTTTCCCACAAGTTTCTCTTTAACCAGTCTCATTTTAGTGTACCATTTCTTTAAGGAATTTATCATTATTCAATTCCATGCTTCTGGAAAAGTTGTTCCATAATTCTATTTACTACCAATGAGAAAAATTCCATTCATTCCATGTATGTGAAGGAACTTAAGTTCTGGAGATGACCTTATCTGCAGGTGTGCTCAGATGGGAGTGAATGTTCCACTTTTGACTGAACACAGAAACAAACTCATGGCCATGGACGATCTTAACAAGTCAAAACACGAGCATTTCTCTGTGACTACATCAGTGTAACATTGCTCCTACAAACACAGAATCGCAGTTAGAGAGGACTTTGAGAATTCTCAAGATGAACTCATTGATGCACACCCAGTTCTATAGTATGTCCAATCTCTCCTGAATAGCCTCAGTAAGGGACAGCACTCTAGAAATTGTTTTGAAGGCGGTCATACATAACCAAGCTACACTAATAGAGAACTTCAAAGGGAAAGAGATATGGCTCAGTGACTCAACACAGGAGTGTGTGTGTGTGTGTGTGTGTATGTGTGTGTGGTGTGTAAAAGGTTGAGGACCCAATCTCTGGGATCTCCAGAGACAGACCTCCATCTGAAATCCTGTAGATTCGCTATCAATTAATCTTGATGGTGCTAAGATTGACCACTTGCGTATCTCTGAATATGGCATTTTTAAATAATTAGTTATATTTGAAATATTGAAATACAGTTTAATTATTTTGAAGAGATAAGAGACAGTGAGTTTATGAAAAAAAGAAAAAGGTCCAAGGGAAACATTTTCATGACATGGAACAATTTGCTTAAACAGTTATTTTTAATCTGAAGTTTAATCTGGGTGCGTTTTTATTAGAACTAGAAAGAATTATAGTATTTCAGAAAATATTACCTTTTTACTGCTCTTTTTTTTGCAGCATCTGTACAAGGACAGCTGGGAGAAACATAAAGCTACTGGCTACAGTTTGCCTCCTAACAGCGTGCCATTTCGTCATGCCAAGCATTCTGATAATATCCAAAGTGAGGTAAAATCTTTCTACCTTTCAAAAATCTCACAGATTTCAAATATTTGCCATGCTCATCCTTCATAATATTGCAAAACCTATCAAAGCCCATCCAATTTCTGATCACAATGACCCAGTCAGGTTTATTATTTCAGGGACCCATGTTCTTTGTAAGTTATGCAATTGCACCCATATTTTTCTTAATCTTTCCAGAAACTGAGGACAGTAAAAAGGAAGAAAAGATTCGAGGCTGATATTTACACTTATGTCTTTTCTCCCTTTTAGCTAAAATATAAGGCGGATTATGTCATCCAAAGAGGCCACTATGTTGGAGTCAATAATATGAGAGAGGATCCAAAACTGGTGTGGTTTGAGCATGCTGGCAAGATTCAGAATGACAGGTTGTACAAAGAATCTTATCACAAAACAAAGTCCCACATTCACATACCCCCAGATATACGCTCCGTGATTGCAGCCAGAGATTGCCAGGAGATTGTCAGTGAAATTCCATATCGTCATTACCTTCATGAATGGACATGTCATCCTGACCAAAATGACTGCATCCAGGCAAAGAAAGCCTATGACCTTCAAAGTGATGTAAGTAATATTATTATTAATATTATTACTTTTTACCTTTCTATTATTTATTCAGATTTGTTTTAGCCACCCAACTCCAGTTTTACCAAAGTTAATTTTTTTACATGCTAGATATGAAAGTATATCTAAGAGAAAGATCTAGGAAAATAAATCAGGTACATATTCATGTATATATTTATGCGTATATATAAACTGTATTTATGGTTTATTAATGTTTACAGAACCTTTATAAATCTGATCTTGAATGGCTCCGTGGCTGTGGTTGGATTCCATTAGATTCGGTGGATCATCGGAGAGTAAAGAATGCTCAGGATTTAATAAACAAGGTAAATTATTGTTTTGTATACTCATAGCAGCATTCTAGACTTTCCGCAAAAGATAATTAGGATTATGTCATGCTTTTCTACAGAGAATCTACACAAAGGAAGCCATTGATAATTTTGACCATTTCACATCCGTTGAAGACACTCCAGATGTGGTTTTGGCAAAGGCAAACTCGATCATGCAGAGTGACGTAAGCATTCTTTAAAACAAGATGGCTGCAGGAAGTGTCAATATATGTGTGTCCCTGTGTGAGAGAATATATATTTTAAGATGCCATATTATAAGTTTGTCATTGTTTTGCTTGATCATTGTATCTACAGTAGTGTTAATTATTCAGTAGATTGAGAGTTAAATTAATATACTATTCTATAATGCAACGTTATTTTTATCAAAACCTTCAGTATTATGGGAGTTATATATAGCATGAATGCTCTACAATGCTTTTAAATTTTTAATCCATATTTAGGGCCAAAATAGCTGTGTGAAGTCTGTGTTAATGACAGAATTCCTAGCAACAGTTTGGTCTATATAGCTTTAGTGTCTTTCATTCAGAAAAGAAATACACACAGGAACTGGGTATGTCTAGTTTAATGAAAAGAAGGACTATGAGAGACATAATAGCAGTATCCCAATATCTCAGGGGCTGCCACAAAGAAGAGGACGTCAAGCTATCCTCCAAAGCACCTGAGGGCAGAGCAAGAAGCAATGGGTGGAAACTTGTCAAGAAAAGAAGCAACTTAGAACTAAGGAGAAATTTCCTGACAGTTAGAACAATGAATCAGTGGAACAACTGGCCTCCAGGAGTTGTGAATGCTCCAACACTGGAAGTTTTTAAAAATATGTTGGATAACCATTTGTCTGAAATGGTATAGGGTTTCCTGCCTGAGCAGGGGGTTGGACTAGAAGACCTCCAAGGTCCCTTCCAACTCTGTTATTCTCTTCTATTCTATATAAAGAAGTGATAATACTTTATAAATTCCTAAAAATTAGAACAAATTTTCTATATTGCTCTAAAATGGTTTATCATTCTAGGCAGTCAACTTATCAAGTTAACCTTAAACTCAACCTGAAGCCTGAAATTTCCGCCTTGCCTTTCATTTTTTTGTTTAGGTGAAATACAAAGAAACCTTTAACCTTCAAAAAGGCCACTACATCGGTTCTGATGACACACCAGCCTTGAATCATTCCAGACAGATGGTAAAACTCTACAGCGATGTAAGTTATCTTGTATTTCGTATCATGTAAATTCAAGATCTCTTGTATTGTTAGGAAGACATTTAATCTGGGGAAGCCTAGTGTATTTTTGATGCAAATGCCTGTTGGAATTTCACTTTTCCCTGAATCCTGCATCCCACGTTGTGTTTTAACTCTGAACCAGCAATTACATTCACAATAATTTAAAGTACTAAATATTATTCATTGATACAATTTAAATTTACAGTTGAGATAAAATCAATGGGTAATACATTTTTTTTAATGGGCTGGAATAAATTTTGTTCATGTTAACTGTGCAAGTATATTGCTGGGTGCCTTTTCCTTCTTCAAATGATTATCTAGCTATGGCCTTTCAAATAGATTATTAATCGTGATAGATCTAAAGAATCTATAGGCCAAAGATAGAGAAAACAAGCACTACAATAGAGTCGTTGACAGATCAATCAAAGGAAATCAATTTAGTCACGAAAGAAGACTTCACAGAGGAATTTCTCTTGAAGAAAACTTTATATTATACAGTACTTCCCCCCCCCCCACACCCCCAAATAAAAGAATGGATTTGCCTATAGGCATACAGATCTGACTTTTTAAGTAGGAGAGAATACACTGAGATTCTGGACACACTGTGGCTCCTGTACTTGTTTTTATACACTTTTTGGATTCCTCTTCAATAATGGAAGAAAATTCCTGCCAAGGTAGTCCTTGACTTACTACCACAATTGAGCCCAAGGTTTCCATTGCTAAGTGAGACATTTGTTAAGTGAGTTTTGCCCCATTTTACAACTTTTTTTTGCCACAGTTGTTGAGTGAACTGTTGCACTGGTTAAGTTGGTAATGCTACTGTTAATGAATCCGGCTTCCCCATTGATGTTGCCTGTCAGAAGGTAGAAAAAGGTGACCACATGACCCCAGGACACTGCAACCGTCATAAATATGAGTCAGTTGTCAAACGTCCTGAATTTTGAACGTGTGACCATGAGGATGCTGCAACATTTGTAAGTGTGAAAAACTCACGTCATAAATCACTTTTTTTCGGTGCCATTGAAACTTTGAACAGTCACTAAACAAACTTGTAAGTCAAGGACTACCTGTGCATAATTGTAAGATAAGCGGTAGTATATCAGAGAGTGAGAAAAGGAGAAGTAGGAAGAGATAGAAATAATATTCCCACTAAAGACAGAGAATTAAACAAAACGTGGGGCAACCACCCATTTTGCATTAACTGTGTGTTTCAGACTGGGGAAAGAATCCTGCTCTCGCTTTAAGGCAAAGCTGGGAAAGGATGGACCCTTTACGACTTGTGGACTTCAACTCCCCGAATTCTTAAGCCAGGATAGCTGGCTCAGGAATTTTGGGAGTTGAAGTCCACAAGTCATAAAAGGACACACACACACCCCAGCTTTAAAGGCACTTGCATTTTGACTCTTTTAAACTTACTTCATTCAATCTAATCTGCCATTTTGGTCCCTTCTAGTACATCTACAAGGATGCTTGGGAATCAAACAAGGCTTACGGTTACACTTTGCCTCCAGACTACATCCCAATTGTTGGTGCCAAACATGCCGATTATATTAACAGTGAGGTCTGTATTAGTTTTCTTTTTATTATTCCTTTTGTGGGATTTTTTTGGGGGGAAAATATACACCTAACACTTTGTTTATTCGTCCCTTTCAGCTCAAATATAAAACAACATACGAGAAGCTAAAGGGCCATTATCTGGCGGGGAAAGATAAAAAAGACTTTCCAAGTGTGCTCCATTGTCTTGCTTTCCAAAAAATGCGGAGTGCGGTAAGGAGCTATTTGTGGCTTTTCTTGAATGGTATCATAGCAAGGAAGCTAAATACAGGTAGTCCTCAATTTATGACCACAACTGAGTCCAAAATTTCTGTTGTTAAGTGAGTTTTGTCCAATTTTACGACCTTTCTTGACAGAGTTGTTAAGTGAATCACTGCAGTTGCCAGGGCTGCCTTCTGTCCATTTCCTAGGAAAGAAAAATCCTCAGCTCCATAAAGATTTAGAGGCTTTTACTAAGTACTTTTACTAGGAACGAACTGAAAGCAAGAAATTCCAGGCAAGCTCTGAGGCAAAGCACGTGAAAACAGCAACTTGAAACAAACTGTGCAGCCCAACCCCCTGGTATCTAGGCAATCAGAGGCCGCTGCATACCAGAGCTAGCAGAAATAACCTTGAAGAGATAAGCAAAACCCAGGCTGTAGTTGCAAAGCTACAATGAAAAACTCTGAAAACCAGTCATAAATCACATTTTCCAGGCCCACTGTAACTTTGAACGGTCACTAAATGAACTGCTGTCAGTGGAGGACTACCTGTAATATAAAGAGAGGAAAACCTGTCTGATGATTGGGGATGAGGCTGTTGTTGTGCGAACCCCGCTGCTCATTTCTTCAGAACAATTCTGAATCCGACTTTGGCAACAGATTGTGACACGCTGTTTGTTTTTGGATGGAGCCCAGAGCCCAGAAACTCTTTATTTTACTAATATTTTCCACTTCTACCTTGTTTTCCAGTTGGCCTACAGGAAAAGTTATGAAGACACCAAGGCACATATTCATATCCCAAGTGACATGATCAACCATGTGCTGGCTAAGAAGTGTCAGTATATCCTCAGTGACCTTGAATACCGAACCTACCTACACCAGTGGAACTGTTCCCCTGAAGAGAATGATGTGGTGCTGGCTCGAAAGGCTCAGGAGATTTTGAGTGATGTAGGTAACAGTTTCGTCTCACGGTGCCTGAGAAATGCTTCATTTATTGCAAATCGGTAGTCAAGTTTTTCAACATAATCCAGAGCTTTTGCTTTATATGCTGGCATAGTACAGTAGAACTCTGAACTGCAGGGTATCTTCATGGGCTTTCACTGGATAGCCCAAAGGTGCTTTTTCAGGAGGCAGCTGGATTTTCTTTGTTTCTCTTGGAAGACGTTTTTTACCTCATCCAAGAATCTTCTTCAGCTCTGACTGGATGGTGGGGAATGGAAGGATTTATATTCCTTGCAGATAGCTGGACATTTGCATCCTTTTTAGAGAGTTGTTGAGGCCACTTGGAGTTTTGTATGTGTCCTCGGGGTCAGTTAAATGGTGCAAATGGGTTGTGGAGCCTTCTTGGGACTGTTGAAAGGACTGTGTTGTGGAGCTGTGCTTTCTGTGGGATGCTTTTCTCTGCCCCGTGTTCCTTCTGTGCAGAAAAACATCCTGCAGAAAACACACCTCCACAACATACTCCTTTCAGCAGTTTCAAGAGGGCTCCATAACAGTGGTGGGATTCAATTTTTTTACTACCGGTTCTGTGGGTGTGGCTTGGTGGGCGTGGCGGGGGAAAGATACTGTAAATTCTCCAGTCAGAGGTGGTATTTGCCGGTTCTCCAAACTACTCAAAATTTCTGGTTCTCCAGAACTGGTCAGAACCTGCTGAATACCACCTCTGCTCCATACCCATTTGGCACTACACAGGTGGTCCTGAGGACACAGACAAACCTCCAAGTGGCCTACCAACAACTCCAAAAGAATACAAATGACCAGCTGTCTGCAAAGAATATAACTCCTCCCATTCCCCACCATCCAGTCAGAGCTGAAGAAGCTTCTTGGATGGGAAGTGAAATGACTTCAAAGAAAAAGCTAGAACGTCCGGGTGCCTCCTGAAAAAGCATCCTTGGGACAACCACGACCAGGATGACTGAGAATCTCCACAGACTTTTATTGGATAGTGCTAATTGTCCCCAAAATAAAGACTGCCTTAAACTGAAAGTGATAAAAATCCTAAATTGATATAGCCAAATAGGGGGATGCTGCAGACTGTAATTCAGCAATGCTTTGAAAACCACTACATCTGTTTTAAATCCTCCATAATGTAACCTGATATAATGACTAAAATTGATTTTTTTTTAAAAAAAAAGTAGGAATAATATCAAGAAGAAGCTCAGAAGGACATTCAACACGCTCTATGTTGAGATTTGCATTCGATAATTCAAATCCAGTGTTTTTGATGTTCCTTTTTTTGTAAAATTTACCCTGGAATCAAACTGTAGGATGATTGAAGATATCAGTATGATATGCAAGGGATGATAAGAGAAGTTTGATGTTTTCCTTATTATTTTCTCTCTAACTATAGGTGATATACAAAGATGATTTAACATGGCTGAAGGGAATTGGATGCTACGTGTGGGACACTCCTCAAATCCTGCATGCCAAGAAGTCCTATGACCTTCAGAGTCAAGTAAGAAGAAGCATGAACTACATCTGGGAGGCATATTTAGTTAATCAGTTCAGCCATGCATCACTAGGGTTCATCCATAGATCCACTGAGGAACATTAGGTAGTACAGTTAGGAAACAGTCATTTGTTTTTTTTTTAATTTAGGAAAGCTGCTGTGAAGCAGAATGAATCATTTTGCACTCTGATTCAGGTGTCTCTGAGGATACAGATCAACTCCCAAGTGGCCTCAATGACCCACAGAGTGCTAATACCCAGATGACTGCAAGGAATATAAATCCTTCCATTTCCCACTGTTAATTATAATTGAAGAAGCTTCTTGGAAGAGAAGTGAAATGTTTTCAAGGAAAAAAAAACCCACAAGAAAGTCCAATTGCCTTTTGGAAAAGCACCTTTGGGATGATCTGAATGGCAACTCTTTTACTGCCTGATTCACTTCATTTAATGTTTTGTGTGAATCGGGACAATATGATTTGCTTACAGTCGTGGCTTGCTATGCTTGAGCACAGCCAAGTTAAGGCATCTTTATTTATAGAATTACTTTCCTTTGTGAAAAAAAAATATAGGCATAAATAAATGCAAGGATAGTGTCTCACTTTCTGGGAACAAAGCAAACCTTTCTAATTTTTCTAAACCAAAAAGGGCTTTAGTAGAAATATAGCTCTGCAATATTTTTTTTAAAGCTATCAACTGCTCTGTATTAGAGAGACTCAGACATAATACTCAGACTTCAAAAATATAATCTCATAGATTGTGCACATTTTTACTAAAGAGCTAAGCCCAACTGCCTTTTTTTGCCTTGATTTTATAGCTGAAATACACAAAACAAGGGAAGGACAATTTACCGAACTATGGCGTGGTTATGGACACTCCAGTTTATGTAACTGCCGTTCAGAGTGGTCACAATGCTAGTGAGGTGAGTCATTCTCGTTCTTTGCTTAGATTTATTCCTTATTTTCTTTTTTCTGTAATTTGTATGGAGAGATTGAATGACCGTAACTCACTTTTATTGCAGCTGAGATATAAAGAACACTACCATAAAACAAAGGACAAATATACCACAGTAGTGAAAACAGCAGATCATGATAGGATCCAGAATCTCAAGCACCTCTTCAGTAATGTGAGTATTTTTCTTTTTAATGCTGTTCTGGAGTTATGATAGCATACTTTAGACGGTGTATCAAGCAGCATGCATGCTCATGACTATGAAATGGCTCAAATTTTGCCAAGTTCAGAAGTCTCTTGAAATTACTTTTTGTGCACATTTAAGGAAAACTGATTTTGGCTTACTGCTGCTCTGATAACTTCTTATACCAATATATAACAGCCAAAGTGAAAATGTGTGGATTATTTAGTATTGACTTCTGCTTAGTCTGGCTTATTTAGGATGGAGTGGGGATGGTATTCCTTTCATTTCCAGCCAACTCAAGAAGATTATGAGGAGATAAAGTTATGTGTGAAGGAATATGTACCGTAGTGCTGGGTTACATCCTGTATAAGGTTGATACGGAGTTGTATGTTAATCACTGACAAATTTTCCTTTGTGCCATCATTGGCAAGAATGCTAAAGAGGATCCAAATGTTTGTTCTATACAAAAAGCAAAAGGTATTCTATATACCAGTGATGGCTAACCTTTTTGTTGTTGTGTGCTGAAAGTGCATGCTGCCTACACTCAGGGGTGGGATTCTACCAGTTTGTACCTATTTGCTAGAACTGGTTGTTAACATTCTAAGCAGTTTGGAGAACCGGTTGTTAGAAGAAATTACTGGCCTAATCCTGTAAGGAAGGCAGGAAGGAAACATTCTGGTGTTGCTTACAGAAACTGCCTCTCCGCTAACCCTTTTTACATTCTTCGCAGGACTAGACTTCCTGTCTCTGGAACTTGTCTGGAGTTTCCCCCCCCACACCTTTGCTGGTACTTTGCTTATGTGGAGTGACCATTCAAAGTTACAATAGCACTGAAAAAAGTGACTTATGACCATTTTTCACACTTACGACTGTTGCAGCATCCCCACAGTCATGAGAGGCCAGGCGAGGAGATGCATGCCTCAATATGAGTGATATTGAGTTGGCCACACCCAGCCAATAACATGAGCACCAAGCCACGTCCACCCAGTCACATGACCACCAAGCCACACCCACCAACTAAGCCACACCCACAGAACCGGTTGTTAAAAAATTTGAATCCCATCCCTGCCGACACCCATAATGCAATGCATGCCACTTCTGGTACACATGCCATAGGTTTGCCATCACGGCTATGTACTGTGCTACTTTTTACAAGTATTCCTTGACCACAAGTGAACCAAAATTTATCTTGGTAAGCAAGACAGTCACTGAGTTTTTTGCCCCATTTTATGACCTTTCTTATGTCAAACATTTTTATTAAGTTATTAAGTATTATAAAGTACAAAATACAAAAGTAAATAAAAGAGCAATGAGGAGAAGGGGAAAGAGAAGTGAGGAAAGGTAAGGAAAAGAAAAGAAAAAGAAGCATTGACTTCTGACTCTCTCTGTTGCAGTACAATAAGGCATTAGCATCAAATCACAGCTTTTTGTTTTTCCATAATAATCTGAACAAATCATTTCTGTAAAGAGCTATCAATCTAATCTATAAAACCCTAATCTATAAAACGCAAAGTCAAAATTACATTCTTTTCCACATCAAGTATGAAATTCAGAAGCGGTTTCCATGTGGGATCAAAAGTACTTATGTTCTTTTCTGTAATCACAGTAGTCAGTTTTGCCATTTCAGACCTTCCTTGCCACAGTTGTTAAGTGAATCACTGCAGTTCAGTTAGTAGCAGGGTTGGCAAGTGAACCGAGCTTCCCCACTGAACATTGTCAGAAGGTCACAAAAGGGGATCACATGACCCCCAGGCCACTGCAACTGTCATAAATACATGCCAATTGCCAAGCATTCAAATTTTGATCATGTGACCATGGGGATGCTACAACGGATGTAGGTGTGAAAAATGATCACGACCCCTTTTTTTCAGTGCCATTGTAACTTTAAATGATCACTGAGCGAATGGTTGTTGTAAGTTGGTTTATTCGTGTCTGAAGCATTACAATTAAAATAAGGCATAGTGTATGACATAAAGTTTAAAATATAAACATGGCTGTAAGTCGAGGACTACCTGTTTTACACTGCTGTTTCATAGATTTTGTCTCAAATATAGATATAACTGTTTCTTCTTTCTTCAGAATGTATACAAGAAACTGTGGGAGAAAATCAAGTCCATCACTTATAAATTGCCTCCTGATGCCGTGCCTTTCGTTCGTGCTAGGCAGCTGAAATATAATGCCAGTATTGTAAGTAGACCTAACAATGCATTTATAAATCTGCTTTAGAAATAAGGCATAGTTCCTGTGTGGTTTATTTTTCTTTTCTTTGCCACTAGGTGAAATATCGGGAAGAGTATGATAAATTCAAAGCTCTCTACACTATACCTAAAGGTGTCCAGGATGATCCCAACACTGCAAGATGCTTACGAGTTGGCAAGCTGAACATTGATGTAAGATTTTTAAAAAAACCTATATTATTAAACATTTCCTACTTCTCCATGTGGTGAGATGTCAAACACAAAAATTACAAGCCTTGATTCCTTTGGATTTAGAGAGAAACTTACATTGCCAAGATATTTTAGGCCAGCCAAGGCTTACATGTATTATATTGCTGTAGTTATATTAAATATTCAGTGATTCCTAGTCACTGTATTTTTGTAAAACTATTTTAGCATGATTAGAGCACTATTATATTCCAAAATAAATCAATAAGCATTTGCTTAGATTTATTCTAATCATAGTATTCAACTCTTTAGAAAATTATCACAGATCCTATTTAGCTGGGAAGTGTACTGGGTTAGTGTACTATTAACTAAGTTTTCTGTCTGAATTTCCTAGCGCTTATACAGAGACGTCTATGAAAAGAACAAGGCTAAAATCCATATTGTGCCAGACATGGTGGGCATTGTGACAGCTAAGAAAACACAGAAGAAAATCAGTGAAGTTGATTATCGTGTCCATCTCCATCAGTGGGCTAGTATTCCAGATCCTCATGCCAATATTCTTGCCCGAAAAGTCAATAATCAACTTAGTGATGTAAGTCAATTATATTATAACTCCTTCTTAGAAATCTATTAAACGAACGTTACACAAGGCAGAAAAAGTATGAGTGATGGCATGTACTTCATTTTATACGTTGCAAGCTATACTGAATTAATTTTAATGCAACTTAATGCAAACACAAGCTGAAAGTATGATACTGATGTATAACCGCCATATGTTGGTTTAGATTATAAAGCAACCATAAACATCTATAAACCAAGGCATTAAAAATAGAATCATTATCAGTTTTTGTTTGGAAGTGATAAAGGAATTGTATAGCATATAACTTTAAAGGGGAAAATGTAAAATTTTATATAAATGACCATTTTTAATTTTGCTAGATTTAAAGACCACCTAATCCCAGAAGAACTCTGGATCACTGACATTTTACAAAACTTAAAACAATAAAAACAAGAAATTATGTATACCTGGACAAACTATGCGCATCACAAAAAATTACAACTGACATCATTTTCTGATTTGCAATGGAACATTTTAGGATCTCATTTTATAGCAAATACTTATAAATACAAAACTTCCATAAAAATAGTAATTTATCCTGATTTTTTTTAATATAATGTCCATGCTATTAAAATACAATTGTGAGCTATTTCTCACTGCATCTCCATGCCTACCTTTTGCTCCATCTCAGCAATGAAGGTATTTGGGTTGCTGCCATTACGCATATTGTTTTGAGGGCAGGGATTGGTGGGTTCCTGGCCCTCCTATCTTCTTCTGTCAGAGTCACCCATTAGCAGAAATACCAAAGGTCAGCTGCCCTTGGTCATTCTGGGGTGATAAGCGAATGAACCTTATAAGTATTACTCTCAGAACAAAATAAAAAAGAGTGGTCAATGAAAAAAAAAGCAAAAATGTGGCAAACAACCTTTAGAGTCGGGGTGTCAAACTCGCATTGTCATGACGATACCACGTAATGTGACTTTTCCCCCCTTTGCTAAACTGTGCATGGGTGTGGCCAGCGCATAACGCATCCGGCCCGCGGACTGCAAGTTTGACACTCCTGCTTTAGAGCATTCGAGCAAAAAAAAAAAAAAGAGCGTACTTTGGAAGTGAAAGAAATTCATGAGGTAAAAAGAAAAAAGCCAAAAGGGCATAAAATTAGAAATGTAGCACCTTATCAGGCATCTCTTTTCTTGTTGATGAAACTAACTACCATCAGAAAACTAAAGGCTTAAGAGCAGCAGGCACAGAGAATCCTTGGATGGAATTGAGTTGAAAAGGCTGGTTTAAACTAACTAGCCACTTTTGGTGGCTTCCTGCTTCTAGTAATTATATTTTCTTCAGATGGCAGAGGCTGGTAAAAAGAAGGCCCAACTGAATTATATTCTGCTTGTCTTTCAAGAGTTTTCAGACCAGAACTGATAAGCATGGATACTAGAAAGCCATGAACTTAACATTCAGATTAATCTTGTCAGTTGTATTTCTTCCAGGCCTGGAATTAAATTAATAGATCATTTTACATGATGGACCCAAGCTGGGAAGTTAACTTTAGTTGATAGATAAAGCATTCTTGAGATTGCATAGAATGAATCCTCACCCTTTCTCTTGGTTTCTCTTTTAATTTTAATACCTCAGGTTGTATACAAAGATGATCTCAACTGGCTCAAAGGCATTGGCTGTTTTGTTTGGGACACTCCTGAAATTCTTCATGCTAAACATGCCTATGACCTTCGCAATCTTGTAAGTATGGTTGGCAATTTCTGATCACTTCAAACTTCTACCAACCCAAACATTTTCAAATGCAAAAAATATCTTTCTTACTAACTGGAAGGAGCGAAGCACATGAGGCACCAGCCATCTTTCCAAGATGGTTTTAGTCTTGCCAAAGCTATTGTTGCTTGCAATTTTCCACTGCTTCCTTTCTTCATAGAAAAGAGGCTCCAAGCCAGATACAACTTGATTTGTTTTAACAATGCTACGTTCACAAAATTATTAAATGGATATTATTTTTGAAAAATAAGGTGACAAAAAATGAAGACGTAATCTATGTATTCTTCCCCCCTCACAGCTCAAATACAAGGCGGAGGCAGAGAAAATGAAGAGCAAATATTCGGTAGTCACACACACACCTCTCTATGTTCAAAATGTGCTCAGTGGCAAGAATCTGAGTGAAGTGAGTATCTGCATTTCTGTTTCCATCAGCTTCTTCCCCGGTCCTTCAATGATCATTATGTCCACCAGGCAATCAGTGGCAATTGAAGAAACAGTTCAAATCTGCAGCTGGAAATAGTTCAGGCATGGGTCCTCTTCCCATTTCAGCCTCAAAATCAGAAATTGCTTTCAGAGTGATCTAGTTTCATTTTTTTTTTTTTTGCAATTTTATCAGTCAAATAGAGCACGTTCACAAATACTGCAGACATTGAATGGGGATTGATTTTCCCCCAATGCAAGTGATTGCATAGCTTCAGAAAAAAAAAACCCTGCAGCAACAGAAGATTTCCCCCACACTATTCTTGCTTTTATATCTAAGTCACACATTAGAGACACAGGACCATTTTATTTTTCAGTTCATTTAGCTCTTTTTGAACAGCTATTTATATCATAAGATAAAAGAGTCCTTGTTTTTACTCTTATGTTTTAGGTTGGTTACTACATTTATTGCTGTTACTTATGAAGCTCTGGTGTGGGTTTTTTTTTTTAACCATGGATGTTTTAATTTGTTCTACTATGTTCTATATAAGCTACTGAAAGCCTTTTAGATTGCCGCAGGGTAAAAAATGAATAAATAAATTAATAGGACTGACTTTTTTTCTTTACTCTTCAGCAAGTGCTTGAAAAGTCCACACCTGCTGGCTTTCCAGGCAAAGTAATGTTATGTGATCAATGTTTATGCAACCATCATAGTTGCATGTAGTAGTTCAAGTTATAATTTTTAACAAAACTATAGCGAAGTCAAGATATTTCTTCCCCATCAGCTTTTTGTCACACTAGTTCCTAATTCACTATATTTCTGCATCATTTAGACCAGGGGTGTCCAACCTTGGCAACTTTAAGACTTGTGGACTTTAACTCCCAGAATTCCTCAGCCAGCTTGCTGAGGAATTCTGGGAGTTGAAGTCCACAAGTCTTAAAGTTGCCAAGGTTGGACACCCCTGATTTAGACTCTGGATCAGATGTGGGAAGGAAAAAGGAAGGAAGGGAGGGGTTCTTTTTTCAGATCTCATGAGACAGAGAGAGAGCATTAGGATTTTCCTTGGAAACTCTACTTTTGCTCTCTCTAGATCTGATCGATATCTAACCAGCATTTAAAAACTAAAACAATGAGGAAGCTTTTGCTAATATTCAACATAGCTTATTTTGTTTCGTCAATTCTTAGGCTGTTTACCGCCATAACTACGTGCATCATATCAAAGGGAAATATACATCAACAAATAAGACAGTGGATCTGGAGCGGGCAAATCGGGCTTACAAGATACAGAGTGAAGTAAGAACTTGGATTTTGGCTCTTGATGACAATTTTTTTTAAAAAAGAGGGAGGGAAGGGGTTTGTTGGAATTTGGGGTCATGAAGCTGCAGAGGAACAGCAGCAATGATGTACAAATAATACAGTATCAAATATAAAAGAATAAGAAGGAGATGTTCAAGACAGGCAGTTATAGTGAACCCAGCTGTTTAGAATACAATGACCCAGCTGTTTAGAATTATTTAGGTATAAAACTTTGAAGTGTGCTGATATGTCTCTTCATTAGCAGTGCGATTTTAACTACCTTTTTTGGAAGTGAGATTGCTAATAGAAAGTGCACTCTCTCAATTCAGGATGCCAATTTGTAGAAATGTTCTGTTTCCTTGGCAATAAAACAGAAGGGGCTTGCTACTTCCTCTCTCAGAATGCTGTTCCTATTCTAAGTTACAGGCTTTGGATTTTTTTTTTTTGGGGGGGGGATGTCTCTCTGTCTAATACTAATACAGATCTGTCCCTAATGAGCTGCAGGGGCTCAGTGGTGAGAGTGCAGTACTGCAGGCTACTTCTGCTGACTGCCAGCTGACTGCAATTTGCCAGTTCAAATCTCACCAGGCTCATAGGTGACTCAGCCTTCCAGCCTTCCGAGGTGGGTAAAATGAGGTCCCAAATTGTTGGGAGCAATGACTGACTCTTTAAACCTCTTAAAGAGGGGTATAAAAGCACTGTAAAGTGGTATATAAAGGTCTAAATGCTATTGCTGTTGCTAATCCGTAGGTTTCTGAAGACCAGCCAAGGCCAGCAAGGGGCAGAATTCAGCACACTTACCTTTTTCTGACCATAATCCTAAACTTAGCAGACTGTGGAATCATAGAGTTGAAAGAAGGCTAATTAGGCCATCTAACACAACCCTTTCTTAGTGGAAAATCTAAATTCAACTGTATCCCTATCAGATTGACTTGCCCCTGCTTGAACATATCCTATCAAGAGGAGATCATCACTTCCCTTGTTGAAACGTTATTACCATTGAGTATTGCAATTAAAAGTGGTTAGGATTGCATTTCTCAATGTATATTTTCAATTTACCAACTCAGGCTGTGAAGAAGTTCTGAGAAAAAAAATGAGTGTGGGCGGAGCCTGGTATGACTTCTGCTTGCACAGCGGTAGAGCATACCCAAAGTTGATTCTACACGTTTAAAGTTTCCCAACAATGCCCTTAAAGGGTTTTGTATATTATTATACATTATTCCATTTTTATTCATTTATTCGTTTGTTTTTGGCAGCCTCTCTACCGAAATGCTGGCTTGCATGCCCTTCCCACTGGATACAAACTCCCACCAGATACCCCTGGTTTCAAGCATGCTAAACATGCCTACTATATTGGCAGCGATGTAAGTAACTGTTTAATTAATTTTTAATTCCAGACAGAGAGAGACCAAAAGACAGAAATACTGTTGGAGTAATATTAAACATACCAGTAGCACCCAAAATAATTCCATAATGCAATCTTTATGCTTATTCATGCTTAAGAGTATAAAGATAGATTTCAGATATGAAGTTGCATGAGATAAACAATATGCAGGAGATATCCTTGTGTTAACAGCCACGTACCCTTCTATAGAAAATTTGTGTTATATTGGAAAAATCCCCTCATTTATGGAAGAGATTTTCTGCTCATGGGAGGGCCTCTCTATAGCAAAACTTACTGTATCACTATAAGATTTGTATGACTTTATATTTAGGATAAGATGAAAAGCTTTCTTACTACAAAAGACATGAAAAAGTCACAATTGTTTCAAAAATCTGTCATATAATTTTCTTTCTGCTTTATATGTATATATATTTTTAAAATGTAATTCTAAGGATCTTTCTTTTATTGACTTATTCTTTCACTTAAGTTATATAATTTCAAAAGAAACAAATAAAAACAAACATAATAAAAGCAGAGGTTTTATTAAATATTCAAATGAATTAAGGAAGGTATTGAGATCATAACTGCCTAACTGCAATATGGGGTCTTTTGACTATATGTTTACATGAAATATTGGTTTCATTATATATTATACATGATTCATTTGGTTTTTGGGTTCTGCTGAAGCTGTTTTTATCTATTAAGGATACCTGAAACTGAAGTCTATGTATACATTTGTTTTTCAGATAAAATATAAAGAAATTTTTGAACACATCAAGGGCACTGGTTACAATTTTGGGCCCAAAGCTGTTCCATTTGTACATACAAGGAAAGTCAATAAAATCCTTAATGAGGTAAGTAATTAATTCATAAAGCCAAACATTGCTCTGACACAGTACTTGGTTTTAGAAAACTAAAGTGATCACTGTTAGAATCTTACATCGGAATCTTACATTAAAAATGGTGCACTTCTGTACAATGCTTATGAAATCATTTCAGATAAAGTGGATAAATGTATCTGTCAGAAATATTAATGATTTAAATTATGTATTCTAATCAATAACTTTCAAAATCTCACAGTTATACACTTTTGTAATGAAGAACACTGTGTATAAAATCTGCATGTCTACAAAATAGTAAGAAGCAGTGGTAGGATTTAACTGGAGCACATGCGCTTCACATTAGAAAACAGCTCTAAAACTTACCTTATCTTCAGCCCCGGTGAGTAGAATAGCGGAGACGCAGCAATCCGCTCTGCCATGCCTATTAGCTGAGCTTCAAACAAAGGAAATATAGGACAGAATAGTGCAAGGGTAGGTGGGTGGGTCCAACTCATCGCAGAACTACTGGTTCGCCCGAACCTGTCCGTGCCGGCTGAATCCCATCCCTGGTAAGAATGTTAATGCTCAGTATTAATGCATTGGCTGAGGTAGTAAATGTTTTAGGTTTATCTGAATGGTTGCGAATGTGTTTATAGATTTTGTGGGGAGGAGGGGCACCACAGTGAGTGTGTCCATTTACACACTGGCTGTATGGAGAACATGTCCAGTCACAAGCTTTTCATTTCATAGAAAGGTAACCTGATGAAAATAACAGTGAAGTCAACTTTTTGATCATCTACAAACATAGCAGAAATGGGATCTGAGCATTAAAATAGGAGGGTGGTTTTTTAAAAACTTAAAGAAAATAATAAATTACACCTGAAAAAGGCCAAAGTACTCCAGGTAAGAATGGTAGTAGGAATGATAAACTGCTTTCTCTCAATCTGTTGCTTGTTGTAAAGCAACTGTTTTGAGCATGGAGCTCCATGAGTATTCTATTTCTTTTAATACAGATAGTCCTCGACTTACGACCACAACTGAGCCCAAAATTTCTATGTGGAACATTTGTTAAATTAATTTTGCCCCATTTCATGACCTTTCTTGACACAATTGTCAAGTGAATCACTGCAGTTGTTAAGTTAGTAACATGGTTGTTAAGCGGATCTGCCTTCCCCATTGACTTTGTAAGAAGATCACAGAAGGTGATGTCCCGAGACATTGCAACTGTGATAAATATGAGCATCTGAATTTTGATCATGTGACCATGGGGGATGCTGCAACAGTTGTAACTGTGAAAAATGGTCATAAGTTACTTTTTTCAGTGCCATTGTAACTTTGAACAATCACTAAATGAACTGTTGTAAATTGAAGACTATCTGTGTTAATTTAAGTGGCATAGCTAACTCATGTGTTTACTATTTAGCATTCATGGGTTAGTTCTACCTATTCAAATGACCAGAATAAATGTTTTTTTAGGAAATACTGTGCAAAATAGATTAAGATTTAATTTTAATTTTTTGTTTAATCCTTTTTCTTTTCTTACAGAGAATGTATCGGGAAGTATATCACAAAAATAAAGATAAGATTCATACTACACCTGATACTCCACACAATCGCCAAGTGAAAATAAACCAAGAAGCTTTCAGTGATGTAGGCATATCTTATTTTTCTATTAGATGCACAATTTGTGTTGTGTTTGATTTTGCTGGGAGGGGAGAAGCTTATTCTTCTTCTCTGTTTATTTTAGCTTATCTACAAGACTGATTTCTTCAGGATGCAAGGGCACTTGATTTCCTTACCGTTTACTCCAGAAACTGTACACAACCGTTACGTTGGAGAAATTACAAGTGATGTAAGCAAGACTTGTTTTAAAACTTTAGAATAAGTTGCTGTGAATAAATATAGATGGGTTGCAACAGATATTAAGGCCTATAGTAATATAATTTTTTTTTGTATACTGCTTTCCCTCCCTAAAAAGAATTTATCAAAATGGATTACAGTCAATAAATGGAACATATATCTGCTTCTGGGTGTAATTCAAGTTGCTAGTTGTCACTTTTAAAGCCCTCATAGCATGGTATCAGGTTATCTAAAGAACCGTCTTTTCCCAGTAATGTCTAGCTGACCCAACAGAGCCGGGAGGCAGGGAACATTGTGGGTCCCTCCTCTTAAGGAGGTGCAGCTGGTAGAACCCAGAAGAAGGGGCTTCTCTGTGGTAGCTCCTTCCTCTTGGAACATCATCCCTGTGGAGATTAGATTGGTCCTCACATTGACACTCTTTTGCAAGGTCCTGAAGACCTGATTTTATCAATGGACCTAGGGAACCCAGAGTAGGATGGAGCCCATCAAGTGGCTTGTTTGTTGTCTCCAGTGGGTCTGGGAGTATTGTTTTTATTGTTTGTATAATGGTTTTTAAAATTTTTGTAAGCTGCCCCAAGTCACTGGGCAACCAGAAAAAAAATTCTTAAATCAATAAATAAATATGGAGCAGGGTTAATTTGTTATATCAACTGTAGCTACTTTGGATACTCCCATGGAAACGTGTGGATTTCAAGATTTTGGACTACAATGCTCATCAGTCTTGGCTGTGCTGGCTGGGTTGTTCAGAATGGAATCAAACAACGTGTGGAAAATTACAGTTTTCCCATTTCTGTGTTAGACAAATGTTCCAATACAATGGCTTTGTGATTTCCCAGCATTCCAGACCAGTTTAGATTATTGTTTATGTGAAATATATATTCTGATATGGAAGAGCTATATTTAATCAATGTCTTTATTTGACAGATTAAATACAAAAGTGATCTACAATGGCTCAAAGGTCTGGGCTGCTTCCTGTATGATACTCCGGATATGGTCCGTTCAAGGCATTTACGTAAACTTTGGGTATGTCATTTCTCCACACAGTCATGAATGCTAAATTATTTTTTGATCCTTAGTTAAAAGATAAGACTCGCTATAAGGCAAGATTTAATATTTTTAAAGTGGCATTTAAGATCAGTATAAGGTCAATTAATTAATTAATCAGGCATAAGTACCATTTTAATCTCCATAATAAAGGGCTTACAAATAAACCTATACTATAAATGTATTTAAAGCATAAAATAACATGAATCTGTATTACACTAACACTGAGACTGACATTCCATTGAAGTTTTGGAAACCTCCTATCTTAGCTTTCTTTTAATCTTTACTTTATTACTTAATTTTGTGGGCTAATGTTTTAAATCTATTTTCCTTTCCAGTCTCATTATGCATACACTGATGCTGCCAAGAAAATTCAAGATAAGTACTCTGTGGTTCTGGACACCCCTGTTTATAGAAAAGACCAGGAGCTAAAGACTCACCTTAGTGAGGTGAGTTCAATGTATTTATTTATTTATCTATCAAATTTGTATGCTGCCCATCTCACCAGACATAACTGTGGGCAATTTGCTAGTTTCCCCACAATGAAAAGCCCTTTAAATTCAAGAGGAAAGCTCACTTGTTGCTTTCTAAGGAACTGGCAGAAGAAGGTTAGACATTCCCTGTGGCAGACAGCTGCCAATGCAAACTACAGCCGAGAGACCTGATTCTACTGATACCAATACAAATGTGAGATAGAGTTGATGGTGGGACTACTTGGTAACCTTGCAAAGTGAAGAAAATTTGGGTAGATATATGTTGGATCTGTAGGCAATCTAGCTTTTAGCATACCAAACCGCATACATTGTAGTTTAGGTTGGGTAGAAGTGTCAACAAAGCTGAATACTTTTCTTAGCAGGAAGAATAGAAGACTAGGGGGTTAAGAACAAGAGCGGAAACAAACCCATCAGATTAACTATTGGTCCTACGAGGAATCTATGACTTGGGCAAAAAAGCCATGAGCTTACTGAAGGGAAAATAACCAAGGGTCTTCTAGAAATGCAAACTCATGCTCAATGACAAGCAAATAGCATGCACGATCAGGCCCTCCTTTTCATAATAGGCTTTGATTGTTATTATTGGGAAGTTATGATCTTATAAACCAATCAACCCAGTTTTGACCAAATTAAAGCCAAAGATTGGTTATACCAGGAGCATGCTTGCAAATGTCAAGGAATGTCAAGGACAAAGGAAAATAGCTACTGTTCCATACTGTTTGTCAGAAGTGCAGCACAATATCTTTGGGCTAAAGGATCTTCTTTCTATTGTAGTCAGTGGCGCAAGCGAGGTTAGTGCAAGATATTTCCAATAATATCCTGTCCCAAAATGAAGGTGAAAAATTGTTGGTTTGTTTTGATAATCTTAGACAGAAATATTGAGCATCAACATTCCAGGAAAAAAGGATTTTTAATGATGAGTTAAATGTTCCACCTTTTAGCCCAAATCAACTGCTTTAAGGAGTTACTTTGGTTTCCTTAATGATGGGCATGATTAAATGTTTGGGGTTGTTCTCACAGTATCGTATTCATATAATCCTTTCCAGATTGTATACAGAGCTGCGGGTAAAGAGGCAAAGACTAAGTACACATCAGTCCTTGATACACCAGATTTCAAAAGAGCCAAAAGGGGGCAAAAACTGCAGAGCCAGGTATGTTACACGTGCAGCTGCAAGTATGAAAGAATGGTGTAACATTTTCTAATTATATTTAATTTTGTTGAAAAACATTGTGCCATCTTCCTTCATATTTTTGATTGTTTATTAAAATATTAATATTTAAAAGAACAGGATAAATAGCTGCATAGACTTAAAAAAAATAGATTCATGGAAGTTAACGAACAAAACACGGCAAATAAACAAGACATTTACAATTATCAATTTTTAAAATTAATTGTTTCACTAATTAATTAAACATAAGGAACTTAAGAAATACATAGTCTTAGTTAAACTCTAGACATAATATTGATAACATCAATATTTGTACTTATTTTAAAAAAAGAAGCTAAAAAAAAGAAAAAAGAGAAAAAAAAATAAAAGAATGAAAATTGTATTATGCAATGATTGACTCACTTCATATTAATAGCATAGATGTGAGGGTTTTTTTCACCAGTCAACTTAATCATGACAATAAAAGAAAGCAACGTATTCTCATAAACCTGTAATGTATTTTAATGGGAACTCTGTCAAGCACATGTATATCTCTGGGGTGTTTTTCCAAGTAATAAGACATACCTGCCCTCCCCAGCCAGGAACCATTTCTTTGGTAAATCTGTGCTGTTGGAATTTTTGCCAAGTAACTGTGAACTACTCAGCTCATCGGAAAGGATATATTAAGAACTCTTCTCCTGCCATTGTTATGTGCTTTGTAATTATGCAAATTACAGTAACAAATGATTTCCTGTGCTTGTAATTATTGAGTCAGCTTAGTGGAATCTTCAGGTCTTTTCCACCTCCAAGAATTTTCTTTGTCTTAATTCCAACACAGCTCTGATCTGTCTTCTATTGTTACATTCTTTCTCCTTCAAAAGCTTATGACCAATATTTCCTCGCCCCCTCTCCTCCTCCACCATCATCTCTATCTCCAGTCTTTTATCTCATTTGATTACTTGAAAGAAATTGAAAAAAATACAATTTAAAGTTGAAGACTGTACTACATTTTGGTAACCAGACCTGAGTTGATATGGGTGCAGGTTGTTTGTCCTTTTAACTTTTGTTACTGCTATACTTTGACTGTACTGGAAGAATGGACATGAATCATTTATATCACGTATTTGGCGATATTTCTTGTTAGAAGCTTGTTATTGTACACTGCCTGGAGGAATTATAGAGTTTGATGGCCTTATATGTTTAACTAATTATTATGAGTATGTAACAGTATGTAACACAGCACAAATATTTACTGTGAGAAATAGTAAAGTTGTGATGACCCAGGGTGGGATACAAAATAAACACAGTCACAAAAAAACAGGTGAAGCCCCTTTTATTTCTTCACTTTGCTTCCAAGCTCCAAATATCCTTGACTGGAGACAAAAAACTCCCACACAAGCAGTTACAAGAAGGAGGAAATGCCGTTTAAATTATAAAAAGTAAAAAAACAACACAAAACAGGCAAGATAAGGGCTGGAAGACCTCCACGGATATCAGAACACACACTGGGAAGGATGCCAAACTCAGAGAGGAACAATAAACTAGAGATATTTCCACGCTTTTTTTCCAGCACTCACCTATATGCATGTCCATCCTCTTATCCAGTTGTCACAGCTGCAGCCCATGAAGAGGATCAAGGCCCTCTCCTCCCCAGTAGACCACGTCTCTCCCTTATCCTCTCCTCCCTGCGTGCCCTAGGATGGAGAGGGGATGGGCCTGGGTCCTCCTCTGACTGCCCAGCCAGCCTCTGCCCTTCCCCAGCCTCCTCCACAACCTCCAGAGCCACACTTCCACTCCCTGTCAGCTGTTCCTCCTCTCCCTCAGAGTTAGTTTCCACCAGGGGCATGACAAAAGCCATTAATTTGAAGGGTTTTTGCTTGGTTGTAAAGCACATTTCTTCCAACAAAAAGCAATAGCCCCGATCTTCAGAGATCCCTGATTAAAAATGCCTGTATGTAAGCATGAATTTCCACTTAAGAGCAGAAAGACCAATGATACGAGTACAAAATTCACCAGAAGAAAGAGTCTAGGGTTTTAGATTTACATGAAACCTCTCTGACCTGTAACAACTTTATATTCTTCTACAGTACTTGTATGTTGAACTCGCTACCAAGGAAAGACCACATCACCATGCTGGAGATCAGACGCCTGCCTTAAAACTTGCTAAGCATGTGAAGGACTTTGCCAGTGAGGTAAAGTTGCAACCATTTGGGATGTCTTGGTGAGATGGAAAAAAATCTGGTTCTCCTAAACAGCAAACCTTCAGGCTATGCTCACTGTGATATTCAAGGTCCCACTTTTATACTTTAGCCTGTATAGAGCACGTTTCAATATTAATCATACTTTTCCTCCCTTCCCGCTTCTGTTTCTTTAGAAAAAATACAGATCACTCTACGATAAACTAAAGGATAAATATGTAACAGTCCCAGATACACCAATCCTCATCAGAGCTAAGAAAGCTTATCTGAATGCCAGTGATGTAAGTGTATGACAAAAAAGAGATCTTTTTAGATAATACATGTTTTCATGCTATAAATAATGTTATAGGAGGATAATTGGAGACAATCAATTCTTATTACATGTCTCTTCATAATGAAATATTAAATTAATAGAAAAACATTCAGCAGATGAAATAATCGTTCCTGAATAAGGATGAATGTGAATTTTTGCAGAAAACTGGGATTATTTAGAATGTATATTTGGTTTATAAATGAATATCTATCTATTTGATCTATCTATCATCTATCATCTATCTATCTATCTATCTATCTATCTATCTATCTATCTATCTATCCCTTCCTTTAAAAAAAAGTATGAAATAAAGAAAAGTATTATGTAAACTGCAAGGTAAGGAACTTTTTGCATTTGCAGAGAAAACTACATTAAACGTGGAAAATTAAGCTGTGAGAATATAATTGGATAATATTATGTTCAGGTTAGAATTTGTGCCTATTTTTGTCTCTTCAAAAGCTGAACAAGTGAAGATAATGTCTGATTTGTCCCACATTAGAAGACACAATTCAGACACACAATTATCTCATTAATGATATAGAAATACATTTCAAACATATGCCTTCTGATTTTTTTTAATCAGCTGCGGTACAAAGAAACATTTGAGCGAACAAAGGGTAAATACCACACTGTAAAGGATGCCTTAGATATTGTCTATCACCGCAAGGTCACTGATGATATTAGCAAAGTAAGTATATGGCTTCTTAAACATGCAATTCTGCCTGACTTTAAAGCTTTCTCAATTTCTCTTTAACTCAAAAACATCCATTTATAGAGCCTTGACTTTAAAGGGGTCCAACTGTCCCCCATCCCGCCTACTCACCCACCCAGCTACAGGCAAATTCAGTTCTCATTAGAGATCATTACATCAAATTGGGGTTTGGGAAGCAGTGACATCACCTTGCCAACCAAGGTCCGTATTGTCAAAGCTATGGTTTCCCCAGTAGCAAGTATGGCTGGGAGAGTTGGACTATAAGGAAGACTGAGTGCTAAATTGATGCTCTGAAACTGTGGTTCTGGAGAAGTCCCTTGAGATCAATGAGACAATCAAATCAGTCAATTCTAAAGAAAACCAACCCTGTCTGTCCTTTGGAAGGACAGATACTGAAACTGAAGCTCAAATACTTTGGCCACCAAATGAGAAGAGAGTACTCCTTGGAAAAGACTGTGATGTTGGGAAAGACTGAAGGCAAAAGGGGAAAGGGATGGCAGAGGATGAGATTTGAGATGGCTAGATCGTGTTACTGATGCAATGAACATGAATTTGGGCAAACTCTGGGAGACAATGGAGGATAGGGGAGCCTGGCATGCTATGGTCCGTGGGGTCATGAAGAGTCAGATATGACTTAGTGACTGAGTAACAACAACTGTATTGGAAGTTACTTAGCATTGCGTATCCTTGTCTTAATGTTGTGATGGCACTGTAGACATCCTCCCCAGAATGGTTGAAGTATGGATTTGGTATCACACAATACTTCATTTGTCCTCCCCCGCCTTCCCCCAACCTTCTAGTTCAGTGTTGCAGGCAGAAAGGAATTTCAAGCAGTAGAAATGACTTGTGCCACCTCCTGGTACCTCCATTCAATGCATATTTTTCTTAGTCAGGCTTGCCTACACAAAGCAGCTCAGTTTTGTGGATACGTTCTCCTAATAATCTGTTGCAATTTGAAATTGATTTATTAGGGAACAGGTTACATTGCATTTAGTGGGGCTTTCTTGTGAAAAAATATATATAAATTCTGTTAGTGCGTTGTGTTCTTTGTTAATTTAATGTTATTTATTCATTGTTTGCGAATTCTTTTTTTTTTTTCTAGATAAAATATAAAGAAAAGTACATGAGTGAATTAGGATTTTGGAGATCTATCCCAGACCGGCCAGAACATTACCACCATCGTGCAGTCACCGATGCAGTTAGTACTGTGAGTATTAATTTATGTTGACCACTTGCATCTTGCACATAAATAAGCCTTACAGAGCGATAGGCTTGAGAAAATCTAGGGTGGTTAATTTATGATGCAATTCAAAAGTGGATGGTTTTCTATTTTTGCTCATGCACTGGAGATCTTAGCGGTCCTAATACCAACTGCAAAGTGAACTCAAGATTTATAGTGGACTTTTGACTGCATTTTGTTTATGATCTGAGAATTTAAAATCTGTCAAAACTTCTAAGTTCCATGATGAAGTGTATCTAAAAGCAAGGAATATTTTTTTGATTAATAGATAATATGATAGATGGAATTTGAATGGATAAGAACAGAGTCAGGCTCTGCTCTGCCAGAACTGAGTGGATGTAGATATTTAAAGGACTTTCCATTGGAAATTATCTTAGATTTACACCTCTCGGTCAAAGACTGAGAGGACTTTTGCATAGATTCAGCTTATGTGTCTACTGAAAAATATACCCCTTCTACCTGGAATCTGCCAAACAGAGACTGGTTGGTTAAACTGAGGGTTTCTTGTGACTTCTGACATTATTTCATGTAGTTAAGTTTTCTCTTCCTACTTTGTTTTTGCAGGTTAAATATAAGGAAGATTTAACTTGGCTCAAAGGCATTGGATGCTACGCATGGGATACTCCTGATCTTGTCCTTGCAGGAAAAAATAAGGCTCTGTATAGTCCAGTATGTGCATTATTTGTTCCTTTTTAAATTGTGAGAGGTTGTTTCTTTGTGAAGATATGATTTAGTTTGATAGCAAGTGGCAGGATTCTGCATACACAAAGGGAAGGACCTTTGATACATTATTTAGAAATCAATTTAATAATTTTCTTTCTAGTAAACGTGCACAGGTTTGCCTAACAGATTTTTTAGGAACATAAAAACTTACCAGTTTCTACAATACTGTGTCATATTCAGATTCTGCTGATCACGAGATTGAATCAGTGGGATAAATAAATCAAGATTCATGTCATGCAGGTAATCCTTGAGTTACAACCACAATTGGGTTTAGAATTTCTGTTGCTGAATAAGATAAGTGACTTGCACCCAATTCTACAACCTTTTTTTGCCATGGTTGTTAGATAAATCATTGGAGTTGTTAAGTGACTCTACCCTCCCTCATTTACTTTGTTTGAAGCCAGCTGAGAAAGTGCAAATGGCTATCACATGTGCTTGGATGCTTCAACTGTTGTAAATACAAGCTGGTTGCCAAGAACTGAAATTTTGATCATGAGACCATGGAAATGCTGCAACAGTCATAGGTATAAGGACTGGTTGCAAGTCATTTTTTTTTCATTGCCATTGTAACTTTGGATGGTCGCTTAGTGAATGGTTGTAAGTCAAGTATATATAATATTAAAATGTTGGACTGTGACTTGGGAGAACCCATGTTCAAATCCATCCTCAATCACAGAGGCCCATTTGGTGACTTTGGTTTAGACACAATCAGCCCAACTTATCTCACAAGGTTTTTGTTGTGGGAAAAAATTGGAGGAAAGACAGCAAAGTCAATACCTTGAATTTCTGGAGGAAGGATGGGATATCAATCTAATAAAGAAATAATGGCTTTCTGTGGGCAACCCAAATCATGGTGGAATCAGGGAATCTATAAATCTGATAAATAAGTAAATAAAAATATATCACAGTTCTGTTTTGGGATGCAGCAGACTAACAAATCTCCCAGGCTGGAAACATTCAAGGAACTCATTTACTGATGTCTCATTTTCATTAATAATTGTGAAAAGACTGCAGTGTTTCACACATTTATATTTGATCAGTGATTGATACTGACTTTTGATTCTTTTAATCGTATCCTTATAACTGTTATATATTTGTTTTCAACAGTATAAGTACAAGGAAACATTTGAAAAGACAAAATCCAAGTTCAAGTATGTTGCTGACACACCAATTAACAGACATTTTAAATATGCTACTCGGTTGATGGATGCGGTAAGTAGATTAAAAGATTCTTGTAATATAGTAATTGCCCACAACAATTCCACTAAATCTTCCTCAGCATATTAAATTTCTTTGTGCTCTCAATATGCTTGACTAGGTCAGGAAAGATGAGGGAACATTAGTTGGCTGAGAAACTTAAAAAACAAACAAATCTGAATGAATTAACTAATCCAAAAGTTAACTAAGAGTCGTGGTGGCACAGTGGTTAGAATGCAGTATTGCTAGCAATTCAATCCTGACCAGATTGAGGTTGACTCAGCCTTCTATCCTTCTGAGGTGAGTAAAATGAGGCCCCAGATTGTTGGGGGCAATATGCTGACTCAGTAAACCACTTAGAAAGGGCTGTAAAGCACTATGAAGTGGTATATAAGTCTAAGTGCTATTGCTATAATTCTCAGAAGTTTAAATGTAGCTCCAAACAGATCTACTCATGCCCAAAATAAATTCCAATCTCCAGTTAGACGTTCATCTCATAGAGATACATAAGTTCAGAGAATGAATACATTTTACCTACCCAATTCTTCAAGCTAGTTGGAGAAAAGGAGAGCTAAATAAGCAAGTGTCTTCATTTCAGACCTTGCTCCCAATATCTAGCAGCACAGACTGCACATCTTAAACACTGATTGACAGCAATGCCCAAATCATACAAACAGCCACTTGCCTGGACAAAGGAAAGATACCACAAAGCCTTCTTAAAGGTACTTTCCTGATATAAAGGCTACTGAGATAGTGGAGAATGTATGTAAGGACAATTAATTTCCAAAATGGTGATTTTGGGGAGGAAGGTCCAGTTAGGGTAGGGTAAGTGTGTACTGCTAGAACCACCCATAAAGAGATCTGACATAAAGAAAAGTTGACTAAAGATTTTGTGAAAGGGACAAGTGTTCTAAAAACATTTACGTATACATGTCAATATCTAGAGAGCTTAGGTGGAATAATATCTTCACGATTCCTTGATTATGTTTTTGGAACTGCAGGCATCACATGTATAGAAGTAGGGTTAAGAAGGTGTGTGAAAAACTCACAATGAATTTTCTTTAAAGAAATCCTGAACCTACAAGATTTGGTATGAAAAGAGCTTGAGTTTTCTTTGTGATAGTGCCCTATTTCATTTTTAGAAAAGTGTAAGTAAATCCAATCATAGAAAACTAACTAGTTTATATTAAGGTGCAACTTAAAAAGAATTGGATGAGTGGAAGGAAAGAAGAGAGTTAAGAAATTTGGGAACAGTAGTAGGATCTCCCTGAGAAGTCAGCTTTGAAGATGTGAATACCCATCCACAAGCTAGATGTTCTCATGTCTGATATAAAATAATGTTTGAATCAATCAGGAAAATATTAAGCATATAAAGAATAGAAAATAATTTTATAAACTCCAATAATAATGCATGTTTAACACACACAAAATGAGAATTTCCCATGTTCCCAAGATACTTCTGTGTTTTGGGCCACTTTATTTCTGCTGAATACATAAATCTTCTATTTCATATAAATCAAGTTCATTTTCCTACATTTGCAGCTATGAAGTAAATATATTTCAAGTCAATCTCATTCAGGACAGCGAAATTAATTGGTGCTGTAACTCTGCCCTTAGTTAAATATGTTCTATATTTTGCTTTGTGTCTTTAATGAGTTAAGTCCAGACTATTAATTTGAACCTATATGACAAGCATTTATATATTTTGAAATGCATATATATATATGTATATATTAATTGCATTAGTCATAATGCAGTTGAACTTAGTATTTTGATTAACTTGAAGATTAATCTGAAGTTTTAATTCTGTATCTTTAACACTGACAACCTTATTCTTGCTGGACCTGGAAATAAGGTTATTATTCAGGCTGCTTTCTAAGTAGGGCTGTTCTGTTTAAATATATAAGATTATGTTATGTTTTAAATATATATGTATAACTATTTTCAGGAAGGAGGGGGGATAAGAATCTTTTCTATTTTCTGAATGGGTGAATGGATTTAATGAGTAATTTAAAAATGTTTTATATAGTTGACACATTGCTGTTAAAATTTATGCCTCTCCATGTATTACTTCCTGATGCTGCTTTGAGCAGAAATTGTACAAATCTGACTATGAGAAGAAGAAGGATAAGTATTCCTTGGTGGTGGATGACCCTAAAACCTTGCTGGCCAAATGGGGAGGAGAGTTAAGCAGTCAGGTACTGTTGGCCAATGTTGGTCAAGACATCCAAAATGTGGCTGGTGTCATTTGTGGGTGTCCATTTTTACATGTCTGAAGTGTCGCTAGTCCGCGATGTAATAGGTGTGATCTGGGATAGTCAAAACATTATGTCTTTCATGTACTGAAAGACTATTTGTACTTTGCCACCCCAAATTGCTCAGTAGCATTTTGAGTGAGCCTGTCCATACTCTGTGTTCTCATGAACTATGCCCCAATGGATGAGGATGACTTCTCTACTACATTTCAACTGAAAAAGAAATAGGTCTGGTTTAGTCCTATATTCTTCTTATTAAAAGGGCAGCTCTGGGTGCGGTGATAGCTCTTTTGGTGTTCAGTTATTCAGTTATGACATTATTCATGATGCTGCCTATAGCAAATGCCATTCATTGGTGCGATTTTTGAGAACACAGGAGTATTTCAAAGGCCTAAATCTCACTAACTGGGATCTAGAGCTCTTTTTGTTGTCTTCACAAGTCTTTTTTTTTTTGTGCTTCGTTGCTGTTTGCATGAACAGAATAAATATAAGTCTAATGCCAAGTTGTTCCTACAACGGGGATGTAATGAAATTCTGCGACCAGATATGCTGACAGCATTGTACAACACGTATCAGTATAGTCAGGTAATGTTTTGTCGTAGAAGTAGTAGATGTAGCAGTAGTAGCAGTAGCAGTAGTAGCAGTAGCAGTAGTAGCAGCAGTAGTAGTAGCAGTTATAGTGGATTCATAGTGTTGATGTGACAATAGTGAATGTTGAAGGATTAAAAAATCCTTCATATTAATTAAATGTGAAGTAATTAAATATATATAATAGCCCACGGTAGACATTAAACCACAGTACAACACACACCACAGAATATGGTGAATTGACTGAAGAAGGCTTTGTCCAATAAACATAAAAACTCTTCATTAAAGGAGTGGAATTGATTTGAATGTTGCCATTATTTGCTACATGTTACAGCAAATTCTTTACAACCAGCAAGACAATGAATGAGAGAAAACAACCATGTGTCTCTCTTTCTGCACACGAGGTCAAAGCTGCACCTGTCTATAGCATTTATATATATAGCAAACATTAGCTATATTATATGCTATTTTAGATCATTCATTCCCTGCAAATACAAATAGATACAATTTATTTTCGTTTCCCTGCCGGCCAACCTTCATCAGGATAACTTGCAGTGGGGACCAACTATGATATTTATTCTCCTTCTGGGGAGACACAAATCCCAGAAATTATTGATCTGTATTTGGAAAGCCTTCTCGGTTTTTGTTAAATGTTGGAAAGGAAACATGACAGTGCACATGACAGTCATTGTTCACCTGTTCTAATTCAAACATCACATACATTCTCTAAGCAGGTACAAGCTGGAATAGCTGCATTGAAGGGCTTGACAATCCAAGAATGGCATTCATGTTTAGAATTTCATAATTCAATCCTCAAGTTTTCCATAAGATCAATTCTAAAGTGAGATATCAGTCATTCATAATCTATTCTATCATGTGCAGCTACCTGAAGATTAAGTCTATCTGCTCACATTTAAACTCCAAAGCTTGAATTCACAAACAAATCATATTTGGAAGTAAAGCAGCATTGATATTTGTGAACGAATATCCATTTTATATAAATCTAGTTTATACTATGACAATCTAAATTGATTTGCTTCATAATAAAAGTAATATTATGATATTATGATGTCAAACTTTATTATTTACTTGCCCTAAAATTAATAGGTTGTTTGTTTTTTATATGTGAATAGTTTTAGATTTGGAATGTTAACTAATCTCAGAATTACATTCAATCTCCTTGCATCTAGTCTACACACGTGCTTTATTTATGGCATTAATACGTCAGCAATCTCTTAGAATATGCTGTCATTGTTTTTTATACATGCAATTCTTTGTGCATGAATGTATGTCTTTGTGCATGCGTTTGTTGCTGTTTTCATTATAATGCATACACAAAAATGGTTATGTTTTCTCTCTTGTCTTTATACCATTTTTAAGGTCCTGGTATTCTATGTATAAGTAAATAGAAGGTTCCCCAAGATTTTCAGCTACATACAATAATTTATAAAAATCTATAATAATATCTGTGTCTATTGCTCAAAATAATATATAAATTATTATGTATGTGTGTGTGTGCGTATACACACATACTATATAATATCTGTAATAGTTTCAATATTTTCCCTTCTGCTATACTTACGAAGTATTCTTGGGATTTGCAATTAATCTGATGTTTTAAAGTAAAGATAAAAATTAAATTTTTAAACTTAATATGCAGTTGTAATCACTCCTAATTTTTTTGTGTTCAGTGATCCTGAATTCATTCATTCTCTTATGTACAGCCTGAGTCTGAGCAGATTACAACAGGAAGGAAACACTATAAAATGAATAAATCAATATTTCACAAATTCTTAAATTTACATTCTAAAAGATGTAACTTACCTACTCTGGTTATTCATTTTAAGTGATCCTTCCAAGCACAGCCCATGTTTTCCTCTACTTGGGTGAAATCTTGCTAATTTAACTCCTTTTATTTATCATGTTCACATCCTGTCCCAGGAAGGATATATGGGATTATCTCATATCCATTCCCATATCAAGCTGGTGGGAGGGTTAGAGATGATGATTCATAGTAGTCACTCCAAAGTTACATGGCTGAGAGGTGACCTGAATGTGTGCTCTGTAGGGTTTTTTTTTTTTTGCATCTTGTTGGCTTCCTTTGAATTCAGCATAACCAAAAGCCACCTAACTGACATTTCCGTTGTGTGGGCTTCGCTCCCCACATAGACAGTTTCAGCTGACCTCTATGCAGCTGTTGATAGTGAGCAGGCTAATTCTAGCTCCCTTTTGAAAAGGTGTATTGGCGGTGTTTTTGTCGCTGCCATTCCCTATATCACTGTTATTTGTTTTTCCTTTCACAGTACAAGTACAAAAGGCTGTATGAAAAACAAAAGGACAAATTTACAAGTGTTGTGGATACTCCAGAACATCTGAGGACTACCAAAGTCAACAAGCTAATCAGTGATGTAAGTGCTGAGATTTGAGAGAAGTGGTGTCAAGCAACTTTATTATTATTATTATTTTGGGAGAGATAGGGAAATAGTAGTGACTCTCTGACTGAAAATTCTCAAATTAAATAGTAAGTTTAAAGATAAATCAGTGATGGGTTTTGGGTTTTTTTTGGTGTGTTCTGGAGAAGATATGGGTCACATATCTTCAAGAAGCTCTGTGTTTCTTGAATTCTTCCCCTCAGTTTTGTTGCCATAACAAACTTCTCGGACTAAGAAATAGAGACTAGTCACTAACCTTCCTAATTAAATGGATTTGAGCTCAAACACACTTGTCAAATACACCAAATATTAAACCATATCATCAAGTATACAATGTTCACTGACTGGTAGCAGACCCACACCTCAATGATACAAAATCCGATGCCAAAAGTTAATTAAAATGCCATGCCTTTGTTTTTGTTGTTCTATATATGTGTGTGCTGAATATATTGGCAATTTTCTCTACAGATGCCCTCAAGAAGACTTTAAGTTGGATAATTAAGAGAGTGCCATAAGCTCCATCATTCTTGTCTGATAGCTAAGATGCAGTATAGGCTATTCAGTTAGCATGCTATCACCCACTTTCTTCATTTTGACCTATATATGTTATGTGCATGCAAATGATTGTTTCATTGGCTGATTGTTCAAATATAGGATATCAAACAAACCAATTTTAAGATTGTTGTGATTGTCGATACAACATTTGTATGCCTTATTCAGACAGATCTAGATGGAGGTAGTAAACATGTCACTTGTTTTTCTTGGACTGGACCTGGATAGTTGCATTTTTCAAGCCAGTCACAACATTCAATAGGAGATAACTAGGGAATGAAGAGGGACTGGATATTTTGGGTGTGATTTCATTACATGTGCTAACTTTATTTATTTTTTTTATGTTAGATTCTTTATAAACTGGAATTCCAGAAAGCCAAACCAAAGGGATATACTAGCATTCACGATACTCCCATGATTCTCCACGTACGGAAGGTCATGGACAGAATAAGTGAAGTAAGTAATTTTTTACAATTGTATCCTTCTAATGAAATGCCCCTCTTGGGTAAGACTATTAATCGATATGCTTTGAATTTAGGTTGTGTTGTCATAAATATACATCCAGCCTTAAATAGTTGTCTGCAATCCAGCCTAGCATAAATGCATGAATAAAGTTTTTGCGATAGCTTTGGTTCTGTATTTTCTTATGTTGGTAAAACATTCATCTTCTGCTTTTCCAACAGCTGAAATACAAAGAACTCTATCAACAGAACAAATCTCACTGCAATGTGGTACCAGATTCAGTTCACATTAAAGCTGCTAAGCAGGCTTACAAAGTGAACAGCAATGTAAGTTCTTCCTTCCTTCCTTCCCTCCCTCCCTCCCTCCCTCCCTCCCTTTCTTTATCTAAATGTTATCATTGGTGACTAAGGCTTCCAAAGGAAACTAGGAAAGCAAGGTTCCCAATTCCCACTCTGTTGAACATTTGAAGAACCCACTTCTCATATTTTAATAAAAATCCAAAGTCAAAGTATTTATGTTCCTCAGGCTATTTTCAGAAGTACGAGGATGGGCTCACTCAATTTATCTTGTTGAGTTAAATGCTTAATAGAGAAAGGAGAGGCAGTACAGATTCCCAGGATCCAACTTTCTTGGGGAACCTTATGTAACCCAGAAGTTAAAAATGAAGATACCATCATTTAACAAATAGAATCCTGGCAACTAGCTTTTGTGTCCTCCCAAAGAGAGGACTGAGCACATGGTCAGGCTGTGTATTTCTATTCCTGGGTAAAATCTAAACTGGTTTTATCTTTTTCTATCTATCTTGCAACATCATAAAAATGGCTCATTAAATCTATATGACTTTTAGACATAGATGGGTGATTTGCCCAATTACACCATGACATAGACACACCATTCTTCTATAAAGTTTACATCTGTCCCAGACTAATATTCCTATTAATCATATCTATTGATTGGTTGATGAATTAACTATTTAGCAAACTACAATAACCTTTTAAATTTCTAAAAAAATGTCAGTTTTGCAAGAACGCTTTGATTATATGTTTATATTTCTTATTAAATAGCTGGATTACAAGAAGAAATATGAAGCAACCAAAGCTCACTGGCACTGGACTATAGATAGACCTGACTTTATCCAAGCTGCTAAGACATCCTTGCAACAGAGTGATGTAAGCAAATGAGAAAGAAAACTTACTTTTTTCCCTGATGGAATAAGGCAGTTTGTTGCTATTTAGATACTTTTAGATACTTTTCAATTTTTGTTGTTGTAGCTATTATTCCTTCTTTCTTTGCAGTATGAATACAAGCTTGACCGAGAATACCTCAAAGGATGCAAGTTGTCTGTAACAGATGACAAAAACACAGTGTTGGCATTGCAGAATGCAATCTTGGCAAGTGATGTGAGTATTTTAAAATCTTTTCTATGGAAACTTTGATCACTTTTGACCATTCTTGCTAAACAGAAACAAAACATAAATGTAATCAAATGTGCTTGCAGTGTTTACAAATAATGGTTTGTAAATAGTGTTTATCTCACATTCCAATCCAATTGGAAGAAATATCGTTTTAAGTGCCAAAAAAGGTTCATGTCTACTAATAACAATAAAAATGGAAGCAAACACCTGCCATGATTTACGGGGATTGCTGGCATTAATTTAGGTAACCAATTCTAATTTGTACTTCCCATTTCCCTCCATTATTGTAGTGCTAAATTCTTAGTAAATTCCAAGTAATCTCAAGATTGAATTACCTCTAGTGAGCAAGCCAGTCAGCTTCCTAACTTTAGTCTAGGACCCAAAGTTTTCAGTTAAATGACTCCCTTCATGAAGTTTCAGATTGTTTATTGATCCCCCCTCTTAAGACATTTTATTGTATAGAATTAATTTAATAAATACTACTATGACTAACATAAATTTAATAAATAAATAGTAGTACTACAAATAATATCTTTATGTTTAAACAAAGGTTTTGTAACCCATCACATCCTTCTCCTAAGATGTTTTAGGTCAAGAATTCTCCAAGGTTACATTTTGATTTCAGAAACATCTTATAGTTGCCTAAGCTCTCCTGGTTTTTGAATAGCTAAAGAGAAGAAAACAACATGCTCACCGTTAGCAATCCCATTTGTGGAATCCTCTTTATGTTTGTTGCTTGAAAACATGTTTCCTTTCTCCCCGCGTCCCTCAGTTAAAATATAAAGAGAAGCACAACAAGGAACGGGGAAGCATCCTGCCTGTTCCAGACACTCCTCAGATCCTTCTTGCCAAGATGGTTAGCTCTCTTGTGTCTGAGGTAATTGACTTTTTCATTTTTATTTTGCAATTATTTGGCCTCAGAGTTTCTTCTTCTTAAAGATAAGTGATTTCTGAAATATTTTGTTTGTCTTTTGATAAATAGAACAAGTACAAAGAGCATGTGAAGAAACATCTCCCCCATGGATCTTTCACAAAATTGCCAGAAACACGGGATACTGTTCATGTCAAAAAAGTCACCAGTAACGTCAGTGAGGTAGGCTACTTCTGCATCATTTTATTCACATTGCAGGTAGTCATTTGCCTTTGCTGTGTTTGTGAGTGAAACTATATTTTCTCCACTGTAAATTATAATTTAGTGTTTTCTGAAGGATATTCTTTATCAACAGTTCTTTCAACTGTTCAGATATTCAGAATCTACAAAGGCTTAACATGTTGTGGGATATTGCAATTGTTGAAAAATCTGGAAAGTGTTCCTCTCATTTGAACTTCCATGATTTAAAAACTTGATTATGAACACAACAAAAGAATTTTAAGTACCTTGAACATTTAGAAAGAAGATAGAAATGAGGGTGGGAAAAAGTCAAATCACCGTATGAGTAGGAATTAAGAACAGATGTGGTTGTATAATTGATGGTACTGACTTTATTATTATCTGTCAATTCAATTCATTGAATTCAATCAATAATGCAAAGAATTTGAGAATATAAAGGAAAATTACAGCAGAACTAAAGAATAAAACTTATTACCTTACAAGCACACACTCACACATCCCCTTTTCCAGATAGCAGTGTTTTAAACCTGTCTTTCCTATTTTAAACATCAACAGATTTTCAGTGGAGAATAATAAGTATAACTTTCTATTCCAAACAGACAAATTATAAAAAGAAATTTCAAAAACAAAAAGGCAAATCAGATTATTCCATCATGGTGGAACCTCCTGATGTGAAGCACGCCATGGATGTGGCAAAGAAACAGAGTACTGTAAGTTATTTCTGCACTTTCTTCCTTAACAAATAATACACAATCTGTTATTGGATGCAGATCAGGGAACCATTTCAATGTATTGCTAGTATTTGGAATTAAGATATCATGATTTAACCAGGATATATAAAGGAGTGTGAAACTAATCGTCTCCAATAAAGGAGTTATTAGAGTTGAAATGAAAGGTCCCTGGTGGTCTTTGAGCTTGGTTGTTGTTGTTTTTGCAGGTATCTCATTACCCAAACTAGGTAATCAGTGCTAGTTTGGGTAATGAAACATCTGCAAGAAAACAACCAAGCTCAGAGAGCACCAAGGACCTTCATTATCAGTCTCCTTTGTAAAAAAACTTACTTTACCTGGTTGCTGTTGCAATGGTAAAATGAAAGGAGCTCTAAGGAGAAGCACAGAAAGTATGTATAGTGTTAGTAATAGTAATTATGCTAATTGCTAGAAAAATGACTGGTTATTTATTTATTTATTTGCATTTATGAGCTGTTCATCTTCCTTGAACAGTATACTTACCTTGAAAAGTATACTTACCGCACCTCCTCAAAGTGCATTCAGCTTTGGAGGTTAAAGGTTCCTTGGTTTCATTAGCACATGTATTTGATAAGGTTCTGATGGATATCACAATAATTTGATTTCTCACTTCCTGGAAATATTTTTTTTTAAATCCCCATAAAATTAATTTGGGCAAAAAAGATTTGGACATGAACGGCATGGCTTTTGAAATATATATACTGCCCTAACAATTCTAGGTGTATTTCCATCATGATAGATGTAAAGAAAAAAAAAACTTGTTTCAATTTACTTTGAGTTTCTTTTTTATTCCAGTTTAAAGCATGAATGTGTGAAATTATATTCTGCAGATGAAAAGCCTAGTTTATGTTTCAAAAGTTAGTTCTATCTCTGGCCTTTATCCTGTCCTAGAAGCCTTCCTAAACACCAGCCATTGCATCATCCTGGACCAGAGCTGAATTTCGCAGTATTCTACTATTGGCTCTGCTTTCTAAACATTCTGGGAGGTTGTGCTGAGCAGAGTCATCCAATCAAAAGCAAATCCAATCAAAAGCAAATTATTAATTAATTTATTTGTTAAATTTATATTGCCACCTATTCGCCCATGGCTACTCAATACATAGTTTTCAGATGTGAGAGAAGGGACTGCAATTGTGAAGGCTGCTGAGATAATGTGTGTATGGAAACAGCAAGAAAATTGCCTCTCTCCAATGACTTTTCCTATGGTGTTACTCTTCCTTCTTTGGCAGAAGCAAATGGCTGTGAGGAACACCCCCCACCCCGAGCAGGTGTAATCATGCTCACAAGAGCTCCACCCTTTTTGATCTGGGTTGGGCGTAAGGGTCTCCTTGCGCATGACAGCTTCCATACATGACTACATTCGCATCTCCCCTCTCCATTTCCCCATTCTCCCTTTTGCTAAGTATTCATATACAGTATATTTTGCCATTTGGTTTGCTCTGGGCAGGATAAAATCACCTTATATATGGTGATTTTATCCTGCCCAGAGCAAACCAAATGGCAAAATATTAGCTGATTTTCATCCTTCTGTTGTCTTTCCCTTTTTTTAGTTAAAAATAGTTTTAAAAGTATTTTCTTTTCTAGTTAAAAATATTTTGTTTATCATTGACCTGCCTCTTCTTTTTCCTTACTGTAGATTGAATATAAAAAAGATGCCAAATCACAGCTCCATTATACCACTGTGGCAGATCGACCTGATATTATGAAGGCCACACAAGTCTCCCATTTAGTCAGCGATGTGAGTGCAAATCAGTGTAACTGCTTCGAAACTTGTTGCTTATATAATACACATATAAGTAATATTGCTTTCATATTTGTATGAAATGCAACATTGATTGGTTTTTTTCAAATGTTTGGCTTGATCTTAGATTGAATATAAAGGCAAAGGTCGCAAAGATGCTGGAGTAGGAGTCACCATGCTTGGACGTCCAGATATTGAACTTGCCAAAGAAGTGTCCAAACTAACTAGCCAGGTAAAAAAACAATCAAAGCAAATAATTTACAACAATAGGAGCATGTGACACAGGATTTCGACAATCTCTTGAAAGTAATGTTGACGCCTAAAGTAATCAGTAGAGCTGATTCTGGGTTAAAGAATTCTGTCACTGTGTACAGCATCAGCTTTTCATACATAAAAAGATTAGTTCTGTGTTGTAGACATCCTGGTCTTGCATGGGCTGCCCTTAACTTTGATTAATCCTGGGTTTAGTCTGGGCTTCCAAAGAGTTAACGCTGAATATACAAAAGAAATCTCGATCCTAATTTCAAAAGGCTTGACTAGCTCAGTGACGATTTTACCTTAAACGGAGCTATTTAAAATGAATTGTTCCTGTTCAACTACTTCAGCATTCATTTTGGGTAGACATCCAATTTTAAATTTGCAGTGCAATTTAAATGTTTAGAAATGTCCCAGGAAAATTTTATTAGAGGTTTAAAAACTAGATTTGCTGTATTAAAATTTCTAAAGTAAAATTTGAACAAAGGGCAAGTTCAAATTAGTCCATAAACTAATTGGAAGAAAAGGACATCCTATAGAAGTATGAAGCTTTTTTATTGATAAAATATTATTGCCTTTTACAAAACTCTCATCTATGGTTTTCATATGACTGTTATTCCAGAAAGTAGAATAGTCACTCCTGGATTTGAGATAACTCTCTAGAAATAAAAAAAAATACAAACACAAACAAAGCATAATGGCAATTTCCCTTATTATCAAATATGTGTATGCAAATACATACACAAAATATACACATACATATGTTTGTGTGTACATTTATAACTTCTGATGGAAGCTATAATCTAATATAGGCAGACTCTAGACCAAAAAATTGAATACGACCTAAGTAAAACAAATAGCCAACGAAGTAAATACTTATTTATAAAATAGATTTTAATAGGCTTAAAGATGTTTGGACTGGAATTTCCGGTTTGAGCTTCTTCAGCGACAGACCGAAACCTCATCTCTCCGAGCACCCCGAGCCAGCTGGTTTTGGGGCTAAGCCACCCCGTAGAGGTGGTGAAGAGTGGGGAGACTGCCTGCAGGGTTGAGGAGAGCTGCATCTCTCCTCCCCAGCTGGCCATTACTCCCTTTCCCGAAGGCGGTTGTAGCGGTGGTCAGAAATGGCCACCACAAAGAAGAACTCGACCGGAAAAGAATGTGCAGGAGGAAGATAAGAAGAGAAAGTTTGGGTTGACCGGGTCAAACAGCAAAAGCAACAAATAAGGTACCCTGGAATTTAAACTTAACAACATTGTTCCCAAAGAAGATTTTGAAGCTGTGAAGGAGAGAGAGAAGGGAAAGGATTAGGTTTTTTTTCTTCCCTTCCTTATACTGACAGCTAAGAGACTTAAGCAAGAAACTGAAAAAAAAATCCACTTTGACATTAATAGGCATCTAAGCTGAAAATAATAGTCAAAGGGATAATAAAGATTTCTGGACATTTAAAAGTTTTTAAAAACTGGAAAGGAGAAAAAAAATAGAAGGGCAGGATCTGGAAAAATGGAGGAGACTGCCTGGAATTAAGGAATGGAACTGTAATTAAAAGAAACGTACAGTGAAATTTTAACAAGATTCCTCAAAGATACATTTTAATGGAAACTTGGTAACAAAATAATAGAACCCCAGGAAGAGAAAGTGGAAAAAAGAAGCAAGTAAAAACAGCCTTAGATTATTTGGATTACTTGATGATTTTGGGGTTTTGCATCTAGATGACTAAAATTAACCGTGTGATTGTTTAAAAGTTTTTAAAATGGTATCACTCTTAGAAGAACTGAAAACAGAACTTAAAAAATGGAAAGAAGACACACAAGAAGGGAGAAGTTCTTTTCGCTTCATGTTTCAATTCTTAGAAATGGAGATCTGGAACTATGAGAAGCAACAAGAAACGCTTGCAGAACAAGAAGATTGGGACAAAGAAGAAGCCATCTTTAATGATCAAATAATTTTAAGTGGGGGGAAAAAAGAAAAGGGGGGAAAGAGAGTGAAAGGTTTAAGATTAGAAAAAGCAACCAAAAAGAAAAAGAACAATTTGAAAGATAAGTATAATACTAGAAAGCAACAGAAGAGGGAATTACAGATGAGAGAGCTAGAAGTAGAGAGATGAGGGGGTAAAAAGGGGAGGGAGAAGAAGAAGACAAGAAGAAGACAAGGAAAAGAAGTTGTAAAAGACAGAAACAAGAAATGGAGAAACAGGGAAAAGATATAAGGATTGTAACCATAAGCTTGTTTAGAGATAATGGGTGAACATTTAATTGTAAAAGGGATTCTGCAAAGGTACATAAGATAGCTTTGTTATATTACAAATAGACTTTAGAAAATATGATGATGGATAAAATATTTATTGTAATGCAGTGGGATGTTTGTTAATAAATAAATGAATTAAAATGATTGAGAGAATTAAAAGGGAACATTTTTAATTATTAGTAATGATTTATAAAAATATAAGTGAGAAATATGGGAAAAAAAGAATTAACTATGGAAAGTTTATAAGTGTTCCCAAGGAAGCATGATATTCAATTGAAAAGAAATGTTAAAGATGTTAAGATTTTAATGCATATTAATGATAGAATTGAATTGGAATGGAATGTGTTTTATTTACATA